ACTTTATACTGTATGATTTTAATGTCACATTTAAAAAGCTAATAAATGTATGGAAAATTTAATGTTTTTATTTTTATTACTTTTTCAGTTTTATAAAACAAATTTTATGTCGAATAATAAAATTTTTATTACAATTTATATCAAGTGTATTGAAGCGAGACTGACCTTTAAGATGATTTTTCTATTACCCTCAAGATTTGTAACTTAGTTTTTTTTTTAATAATGCATGATTTATATTCAAAAATTTTTATTATTTATTAAATATTTAAATACATATTTGGTAATTTTTTTAACCCATAAATTTTGATTTCCATGAACAAATTCATCAATTATTAAATAATTTTTAAAACTTAAAACATTTTTCCTAACACTTAATAAATAAATAAAAAAAATAGTAAATACCAAGACTTTGTACCGGATTTACTTCAGTTGTATAAACACTGATGCTATAATTAATGCCCTTGTCATGCGATGTATAATATATATAATTAATGAAAGAAAATGAATTATGGTTATGAAACATGAATCATATGTACTAAATTTCATCATAATAAAAAATCACATACAAGTCTTATTAAAAAAAATAAAATGAAATGACTTAATTAACTCGTATGTTTACAAACATCTTACTGTTTCGTTAAATAAATTTGCTGTATCTTATTTCAGTTTTACAACTAATAATAACATATATTATAGTGTATGTAATATATGCAATTCTGCATTAATCTGAGAGAAAAAAAAAAATAAAAAGATGAAGTGTGCAAAAAAAATGAATAGTTTGTCTAGTCAGTGTACATAACTTGTACAAACATATAAATTAATATTTAATATTTGGTTTTATGGTATAATAGCAAGTATTAGCGTGTCACCTATTAAATATATCAGGAAATGTTTAAAATAGACATGCGGTCATAAGGCATATTCACACTGTACTCATATACATAAACTCAGGTTTAACCAGGAAATATGTGAAGTAGCTTTCGGTCACTATATTCTCGAATCGTTTTGTTTTGCCATCAGCATCACAAACTACTATACGGAAACTTGTAATTTTATTGCTGCTATATAGCAAGAAAATTCTTTCAACATCCACTCATCCTTTTTCGATTAAAATTATGTATTGAATCAACTCATTTGAATATAATTATTTAATACATGCTTATTTCCAAGAACTAAATGAGTAAATACGGCGTGATTAATGGTTTATCAAAATTCTCTCTGGAAAATACTATTAATCATAATAGTTTGTTTTACTTTTGTGGGTGGATATTAGACCGACATTTATCAGAGACATTTTTTTTTACACAGAAATTATAAGATATTTATTATTATGTATTAAAAAATTAATAAAAATATCAAGTAATAAAATTTAGTATTAACAAAAAAATTTGATCATAATTTTTTATTACTTAAAAATTCAATTTTATCCGTACTAAAGTCGTAACTAATATATTTAATGTAGAAAATAGAAATGTCATTGATTTACATAGTAGTAGTTTACCATTTGCGTGATTAACACAGCGATGTTAAAAATTCTAAAAACTGGTATATTTTCAAGAAATTCAAATTAACGTTTAGCACTATAACGACCCGTTATAAAAATATTAGTTCTACAAGCATTCATAAAATGTTCACCATATGGAACTTGAAAATTTTAGACAAATCAGGGGCCATAAAAAAAGCGTTCCAAAACTTTAAAATCCAGTTTTAAATCAAAATAGTTTATTTGAAGGAGTTTGAAATCGAAAGGCAAATTAAAATTTTTCTTTTAAATTTAATAAAAGCAAAGTTAGATAATCTAATTTATAAAAACGTTCCCTTTTTGATTCAAAACTACTTAATTTAAAGCTTGAAAAATAGTTCTGAGAATACCATTCATCCAATCATTGTCCTTGGTATTATTCCATCAATGGACATTCACTGATTAGCATTTTTTTCCACTGATTCATTTTATATTAAATTAAGATTTGATCCTTGCACCACTGAAACTAAAATTTAAAAAAAAAATATGAAACTTGCTAATACTTTTATAATAAAATTTTATTATACTAACAGGTTTTGAGTTTATTATCTCAACTCAGCATATTTAAAAAATAAAATAAAAATAAACACAATTTATTAATATTTATAATTTTCTTAAAAGATTCTGTTAATAAAAATTCAAAATTATCCTTGTGAAAACAGAGTATAAAGTAGCTTAAATAAATAAACAAGCGTATATATATATATATATATATATATATATCAACTTGGAGGTCTATATAAAGAAGAAAGCTTAAATTAAGTAATGTGTAAGTGAAGGAATCTAATCCTCAAAGACATAACAGCAGACACTCCTGTTAGAGATGAGAAACATATGTAAATTTATTTCCGTTTCCCCTTAAAATCTAGAGCACGCGCTTTCAAACTTTTAATCAGCACTCGAAGCCATGAGGTAGATATAGAAACTCAATGATAATGATAAAGCAATCTTGTCTTCACTGTTCCGAATTGAAAGGATGATTGGTCGTTTCAATCTATCGATCCCGACCTATATAATAAAATAAACTATCGCCATTGGGAGAGAAAATTTATTATCCTTGAAAATCTCTCGAGGTCATTTCATTATTAAGGTTGACCATGTGGTCGCACCAAATGGCCTCTACTCACCCACACATAAGTATAAACTTACTTGATCCTGTTCCATTCCATTCTGAGTATTATTATATACCGGTCCATCTGAAATTACTCAATTGACCGTGCATAATACAATACAGTATCATCAGTACAGGAACTAAGAAAGAAAATATGCTTGGCTTTAAATTTTCTACCGGCAGCTGGAAAAATATTTCTCGGAATAAAAACCTACTCATATACTCAGTGTAGGTTTACGATCAGATTCAGTATTTGTGTTTCTGCTTTCTGCTTTTGCGTCTTTTATTTTTATTTACATACAGTCTTACTCTGTTGAATAATAATAAAATAATACTTGAGTGGTGATTTTCCCCTTGTAAAAGGAGCGAGCAACGTAGTTTGCTGTTGTATTAATATGCCAGAAAGGCTAAAACTCGAGGCACGAAACCCCTTAAACACTTCGATGCCATACTGCACGAGTACTTAAAAAACTCTTTCTCGTTTTTCTTGTCTTTGCAGATCTGAGTACGAAGGGTAGGTCTTTAGAACGAGGTCTTGGGAGTGGCTCTTGTACATAAACCCAAGAACAAAAAATAGGGTGACAAGGGTTGTACTTTGTGCTGTACTAGAACTTTCTTTATATTTACTTCTTGTAAAATACAACTGCCCTATTTATTTACGTAATATTTTGTACAAATATACAGTATGCATCTATGAGGATTATTTGTTTATAAAATCTTTGAATAAACAACTTGGAGAGGCTTTTGCAGTTCGCTCAGAAATTTTTGTTGAGTAATATATAATAATCAAATTTTATTTAAATAAAACATACAAATTTTGCGGTTATTTTTAGTAAAAGTCTGCAAAATTAAACCATCCAAATTTTATGTAAAAAAAATTTTTAAATTATCCGTTTCTAAATAAAAAATTTTTATTTGTAATTAATGACATAAGAATAATTTGTTTAATGCTAATTGTAATTTATAAAAAAATTTAGTTCAAGAACTTCCAAAATAATAATTTGGAAAAATGATTGAATTTAAATTAAACAAAAGATCTGAACAATACTGGTAGTTAGCTTTGAAAATTTTTCGATGCGGAAATCTAACATGGTACTGAAACAGATGTTACCAAAGAATGCATGAAATCCCACAAACGCACGTGTCTTGAATACGCTTCTGTATTTTATTTGAGCCACTGCATTGCCTGAAATATCTAGATTCTGAAAAGATAAAGTTTACAAAAAAATACTTGAAACACCCGAAAAAATATACGTTTATAGCGCGGTATATAATCAACACGAGTTACTTGCGTAAGCATTTAACGACTATCGTTAAATCGAATGCTTTTCAAAGCTAACATCCGCTTTACTTGAGTATATATACGTTCAACCGTAACGGACATCCGGAAGTATTACTTTCCGGATTTTTAAACATAAATAACTTTTTCTTTCTTTGTTGATCGAACGCACTGGTTTTTGATTACTCGATCGAGCAATCATTCAAGTATTTATTTGTTTGTTTATTTTATAAACGTTAATCTTCTCTTCACAATATGTCAATGAATAAAAGTATTTTTTGGTATTTTCAATGAAGAAACTTTTTTTTGAACCAAGAATATAAAAATCTTGAAGAAAAACTAAATTATTCTTAATTGAAGAGAATTATATTTTTGAATGAAGAGTTTGATTTTGTTGATCGAAATTGTAAAATTTCTCAAGCTAAGAAAATGAGTTTCAAGACAAGAAATTCTTGAATCAAGACTTCTCTTCAAAATAATTTTCTTAGATCAAAAATATTTCTCTGAGATTAAGTATGTTTTTTTTTTGGCATTGTAGCATAACTGGATTACCAAAAGTATAATAAGCATTAATTATCAGAAAGTTAGTAAGATTTGCTCAACATAATTACCAGCTATATATAATGAGCTGTATTTATGGTTCATTTTTAAACTACATATATTTATGCACTGTTTAAGGTTAAATAACACTTAAATTTTCTTAATAAAGGAAAAAAAAAATAAGAATTATATTATGAATTGTATGTTAGCTGGAATATAGTATCAAATTAAATTAGTAACGGTCTGTCAATTTTCAACAAAATTAATAATAATTACGACCACAATTTAAAATTTACTATGTATTTTAAGTAATAATAAATAATCCGTTAGAAAAATTACTATAATTAATAAAAATTAAATTTTTTTTTCTCAATTATTACTTCTAAGATTGTAGTTTCTTCGGATCGTAATATATACTGAAAAAATTGTAAAATAACTTGCAATTTTAGTAATTTATAATTTTTAAAGTATAAACTTTATAAATACTTGTTAATTTAAAATATTTTTGATTACTTTGATGTAACTAATGATTATTTATTTAAATTATTTCCAGACATTGCCATGGACTGGTCGGACCACGCACTTTGGTGGCCTAAAAGAAATCACTGGCTCACCAGAACAAGGAGCACTTTAGATCAGTACGGAGTTGCGGCAGATGCTCTTTTACATTTTACACCGATGCACAAAACACTTCGTGTACAATTGCCAGACATGCGTTATCTTGATTGTCGAGTTGATTTCTCCGTCAAGACTTTTAATACTGTTATAAATCTATGTAAAGAATTAGGTAACTAAAAATTTTATTTTTCATAAAATTTATTGTATAGTTTAGTTTAAAAATTATTTTTTTGCATTAAAAATCATTTAAAATTAGTTTAAGTTTAAAGTCAGTACTATAATTATTTTTAATAGATGCAAAATAACAAATGTCCTTTTACCACGCGAAGGTCATGTTTGGAAGAATAGCAAGTGATAGCAGTTTTTAATTAAGCTAATGGGTGATAAATTATCATGCAATTAGAGGGAATATAAAATCAGAATCTCGTTATAAGAAAATTAATTATTTTATATATCAATTTTTTTTTTTTTAATAATTGCATCTTTTTTAGTTGTAATTAAAATTGTTTCATTTTTTTTTTTTTTAATAATTTTAAGTTTTTAAAAAAATTTAATAATTAAAGACTTGTAGAATTAAAAAAAAATTATAAAAATTTATAATTGACAGGAATAAGACATCCAGAAGAACTATCATTTTGCAAACCCCTTGAGCCTAATCACTTGAAGTACAACTTAAAAGATCTGCCAGCGAAAAAGAAGATAGAAAATCAAAAGAACGGACATTGGAACGTGCCAGCGGATACAAACACTTTTATCCCAGTCAGTCAAAGTCCACAAGGATCGAATGGAAGTTTAGATCAGAGCAGTCCTTTTATGTGCGCTCCAGTCACCCCGAACAATAGGAATCACAGCACGCCCATCAGTTCTCCAGTTTCAGTAAGATCCACCTCTTATCTAGATTTTATAATTTAAAATAATATATTTTCTTTTATTTTACTGAATATATTAATAACTTAATAGTTTTCATTTATTATTTATGATTTTATGATTTTATGATTTATGATTTATTTATTATTGTAATTTAATATTACAGCATACGGGCACTTGGAAGAGGAATAATAATTCATCAGGATTCGGGAGTACCGGTTCATTCAACGCAAACAATAGTACAATGAGTTTAGAGGCATTAAACGGTGGGATGACCGAGTCATTGGCTCAGAGCCCATCCGCGGCATCACCAGACGTCCATGCCAAACTAATAAAACCTAAAAATCTGGTGGAACGCGCACGGATGAACGTCGCATGGCTCGACTCCTCTCTCTCAATAATGGAACAAGGCATTAGAGAATTTGACATTCTCAGACTTAGATTTAAATTTTATTCGTTTTATGATTTAAATCCCAAAACTGATGCTGTTAGAATCAATATGATTTATGAGCAAGCTAAATGGCAGCTTCTTGCCGAAGAAATTGATTGTACCGAAGAAGAGATGCTGATGTTCGCAGCTCTGCAGGTATTATCAATTATTTTATATTGTCAAACGATAACCGTCCCTATTTTTAATCTTTTTAATGGCCTTTAATGGAAGACTTATGAGATCACTCCACTGTCCATATATATATCTTGCTTTTTTGTTAAAAAATATCAAATGTTTTTTTTATTTTTTATTCGTACAACCATTATAGAATTTGGCATAGGGATTAAATTTCTCCAGACTCAGTAGGGGTTCTTATTCTTGTTTCTTTTATATAAAATATCACACGCTAGGCATTAAATAAAATCTTGTGATTGATAAATCCTGTTCATATTTTTTAATTAATTTTATGAGTAACAGTCTTTGTAAAGCCAAAACCAACTTTAACATACTGAAGTTAGAGGGAAGGAATCTAAATTTTTTTTTTAATAAATAAAATAAGACATTGTTTTGTTTATTACTATCTACTCAGTTTTGTGTCTGGTATTCTGTAATTAATACTATAAAACTTAAATTTTATGGCATGATTAGTGAGTTTATTTCTTGAAATATTAACCCGGCTTTGTTGATTATTTATTGGCAATTGCAATTTATTACATTGGATCAGTCATATTTCATAACTTCAGACCTTATCATTCTTACAATCGTACTTTATATTAATAACAATTTAAAATAAAATCTAAAAAATATTTCTGTTACAATGAATGTTAATTGCTGCAATTATAGGGTCTGTAGAAAACGGGAAGTATTACGAAACTCTATCTAATGTGATAAATTGTTACACTATACAGTGATCTGTAATATAATTCTGATAATTCAAAAACTAATATTATTATTGTTAATCATTTAAAATAAATTTAATTTTTATTTGTTAGAATTTTAATTTTTATTTAAAAAAATTATTTCATTATAAAATTTGACCTCCAGTTAAATATAAAAAACAAACTTGATTAATTATTAGATAATTCAATAATTAAAAAACATGATTGTCCCACATTTCGAAAATTTATCTTAGTAGAATAAAGTAATTATAATTAACAAAAGGTCGAGGTTAATTATTTTAATAAACAGTCTTAAATAATTAAATTTAGCAATTATTACCAACACCTTGATTGTATCAACTCCATTTAATGACTGTTTTTTTACAGCGCAATAAAAAAAAAATATTCTTCAGCTATTTACGACGTTTTAAAAAATAAAAAAAAAAAGGGAGAAAACTTTTTATAAAAATATAAGGTCACGGCTCTTAAAAGAAGTTATCAAACTATTTTAATTTAGTGGAGTCCTCTTACTACTCGCTGATAGTAACGACCATAAATTTTATTACAGTAAAGATATCTAATACTTTTATAAAAAACATTCCCACGTATCTTGCGACTAATGTTAATTGATAAAAAAGGTTATTAATTTAAGAAAAACCAGACAATACTGACAATTTAATTGAATGAGACAATACTTAAAAATCAATAAATATAGTGTTATTTAAATCGATAATCAATCTTAATCTCAAGACATTAATGCGCGTGGGTACAGTCATCGATATCGCTAATAATAAAATAATATAAATAAAAAACATAAAAGTATTACATATTTTTAATGAACCCACGTATTTGTTGGTTGTTATTTGTTACCTTCACTAGTTTGGCGTAGATCGTGTAAAAATAAATTAACACAACTTTCTACTTTGAAAATTTTTTATTATTTTCTTTGTTCATTCATTGTATATCTTAAATCTCACTTATATTTAATACATCTACATATCCCCATCTACAATATAAGTTATATATGTATATATATATTATACGGATATCGTATGTTTAACGAACAACTGCAACCCACGTCGATGACCTCGTGTTTTTGTACGTACACCTACTCATCACTACCAAGATCGATAAACTCGTCTCAAACTTATTCTCTGTATTTTCCACCAATCTTCTGTTTGTAGTAACGTTACTTGTATACTTTACTATGCAAAAACAGTAAAAAAAAAAAAAAAAAAAAAAAAAAAAAAAAAAAAAAATTTGTAAGATGATAATAAAGAAGAAAAATAAGTAAAAAAATGTTTGATTTATTTAACAGGTACAAGTGAATCTCCAGGCAAGTATGCCACAGCCGAGTTACGAGAGCAATGGATCATCATCGCTGATTGAAGATGATATTGATGCAGCACTTACGGATTTACAAGTCAGTCTCGAAGGTAGCAGTATCAGTAATGGAACCAGCGATGTTACTCAAGTACCAGAGCTCTGTGATTATCTTCGGTTCTTCAAACCAAAACGTTTTACGCTCAAGGCATTTAAGCGTTACTGGTTTACATGCCGAGATCTACAGCTCAGATTGTATAAAACACGCGAGGAGAGCCACAGTTCTGAGGCACCAGCTTATATTATTAATTTACGGGGATGCGAAGTCACACCTGACGTTCATCTCTCTCAAGGCCGTTATGGGATTAGATTAGAGGTCCCTAGTGCTGATGGAATGACGGAAATGTGGATTAGATGTGATACGGTAATATTTTATCTTCTTACTTAAAAGTTTTAATAGTAATGTTATTCACGTTCTTATCCATGGTTCATAATATATTCAATCGGTTCTTGTTTTAAAGATATTTAATATGGGTTGTTTTTTGAAGATTAATTTAGATGGTGTAAAAATTATTTTAAATGATTAAAAGTTATGTTAACATATTTTATGTTTTTTTTTTTTTTATATTTTATTAGTTCAATAATTGACAATTGTATCTTATTTTTTAATTATTGTGACATGATACTAGAAACAGAGGAAATTATAAGTCGTATGAATGCCGAGATTATTATACATAAATTTAACAGTTGATATTTGTAATTGAGTACCTGAGGAAGCTGCGAAAATTGCGAAACGTTGTATGAAAATTAAATAAACATCAAATATTAAATATCCTTAAAACAAGAACCGATTGAATGTTTTTATAGTAATTTTAAACTATATATAAATAATTATTTTAGGAACAACAATATGCCAAGTGGATGGCTGCTTGCCGGTTGGCTGCTAAAGGCAGATCATTAGCAGACTCTTCCTACGAAAGCGAAGTTAATAGTATCAGCGCCTTCCTACAATTACAAAGACCAGCTCCAGCACCTGCGATTAATCCTAGTTCACTTAATATTACACCTGAAGACTATGTTGCGCCCAGATATTCCAAGAAACTTAGAGGAAAAGTGAGTGTACTTATTTTTTTAAATAGACTCAAGGGAAAGTATTTTAAATACTATATTTAAATAGTTGGGAATTTACCTCTTTATTATTTATTATATGTGAGGAAGTATTTATAAAATATTTACATTGAAATTCTTTTAAATAATATCGTGTTATCTCTGTACAATAGATACAAGTTTTATTATTATTCTATAAAATTTTTATTTATTATCAGTCAATATAAACTCTAAATAAACACTTTCTATTAAACTAGAATTTTTTTTATAGTTAAACTAAAATTTGTGATATTTTTTATTAAAATTAATTTATTAAGTCGTTAATCTATAAATTAATAATATAAATATTTCAGCTGGTACAAAGAATCTTGGAAGCACATGCAAATGTCAAAGATCTTCCATTAGTCGATGCTAAATTAAACTACATAAAAGCATGGCAATCACTGCCTGAATATGGCATTTCATTGTTCGTCGTACGATTCACCGGAAAAAATAAAGACGAATTACTCGGCATCGCAAATAATCGACTTATGCGTATGGATTTGCACAGTGGAGATCATTTGAAAACATGGAGATACAATACAATGAAGGTTTGTTTGATTTATTATTATTTTTTTTATTGAACACAAAAAAATTTTAGAATACTCTATAATAAAATAAATTTATGTATTTAGGCCTGGAATGTTAATTGGGAAGTCAAACACATGATGGTACAATTCGAAGAAGAGAATATAATTTTCGAGTGCCAATCGGCAGATTGTAAAGTCGTACATGAATTTATTGGAGGCTATATATTTTTATCAATGCGTTCCAAAGAAGCTAATCAAACGTTAAACGAAGAAATGTTCCACAAATTAACCGGTGGATGGGTTTAAATGTTATTAAAAATTCTTATAACAATAAGTATAATAAATTTTGCAAGAAGATAATAACAAAAGTAAATAGAAAATAAAGATAATATTTAATTAAATAATTGTTGGATAGTAAAATTAACTATGAAATGATAATTGAAAAGATAACGTGTTTGTTATGTAACATAGAAGAAACTTATGACTTACGAAATATTTTAAAACATATACATGAGTGCCTAGTGACTTGTTATTGTAAAAATAATATACAACATATAATTTTATATACTTATTATTATAAATATATTGATAATTATTAATAGTTAATATTGAATTATTAATTATTAATAAAAGAGATAATGTGCAACAAGAAGTAATCAAACCAAAATTGATTTATATAAGGCCCCCAACCAGTCTAAATTTTAATTAATTATTTTCAATTTTTTTTTAATTATTTTAATTAGTATATATGCACAAGATTTTAATCTAGACATTTAAATTTTTACAAATATCACTAGATCTACTAATTTTATTGTATTAATATCTAACTATTATTATTATTTTTATAACTATTAATTTTCACTGTCATTTTTATTTCACTACTTTTTATTTAAATTATATATTGCTTTTTATTTTACACCCGGATGCATTTGCATTCAATATTTAAAACTCAAATTTTTGAATAATTATTTTAATGTTTAATTTAATTTTAAATATTATTCTGTATTGACTTAAAAATTTGAATGATCAAAATTTTATAATTAAATAATTTTTTAAATTATGAACAAAATGAAATTTTTTTTAATATTTAAAGGCTAATTAATCGATTATTTAATGAATTTTTGTAAATTATTTGTCCAATTAACATTTAAAAACTAAAAAAGAATAATTAATTATTATATATAAATATACATGTCGTTTTCACTGTCATATTAATCTAGATGTACATTAAATAAAAAGAAAATCTAGTTTTGTAAATTAATAGACTATAGTTTGTATATTAAAAGATATATAAATATATATTTAAATTAATATCTACGTTATCTAACGTCAAAAAATATAATTATTGATTAAAATAATATATTTTATATGTAAGAAGCTTTATTGAATACTGTAATAAATAATATTCAATTAAACACAAATATCGAAAATATAGTTTTGTAAATATATCAATTTCTTTAAAGAATATTAAAATTATAATTTATTAGTTGTATTCTTGAGTGGATTGAAGAAATTTTTTTTTGGATCAACTGACATGCTTGTATTATTTTTAGGTAACGTTTCTGGTTCTTTGAATAATTTCATTGCTGTTTTCATGATTGAGTCATTTGGAACTTGGGCTAATTCATTTCCCTAATAATAAATATTTATATTATTTTAATTTAATATAATTATCATTAAATAAATTTACAAATAAATCACGTGCCAAATGCCAAAAAGGCGTATAAAAATTAATTTAGCAGATATTTTATAATTTTAAGAATTTTTTTAACAAATAAATTAAGTCAAAGAAAATGAGAAAAAAAAATTGACATTTAGAAAATTTTAAAAATTAAAATCAAATTGTTTAAAAATAATTTTTTGGGGCAAATTTATTTATTAAAAAAAAATTAAAAATTGGTCAAGTGACTGCTAACTTTAATGTCATTTTTTTTTTTTTTTTTTTTTGGAGCCAATGTTCTTAGTTTAATGATGAAAAATAAATTCCTAAAGCCAAAAGGGCGTATGTCTCTTCATAAGCCTTTTTGGCTTTAGAACACTGAAAATTTAGTGATCTAAAACCAAAAGGGTGCATAATTTTTAACTTTCTGCTAAGAAAATTAAAAATTTTCTAAAATCGGAAAGTCATTGGTTTATAATTTTTTTTTTTGATGCCAATCGTTTTATAAACATATTCTAAGCCTAAAAATGAAAAAAAAATTTTCCTAAAGCCAAAAGGGCGTATATCTTAAGTAGTTGAAAAATTTTTTTTTCTGCAGATCTTTACATTTCAAGCAATTCTAAAAAGAATGGCAAAAAAAAGTTTTTTTTATACGCCCTTTTGGCATTTGGCATGCGAAATGAACCTTCAGCTTAAAAAAAATCATCAATACCTGATGCTGTATCGATGAAGAATGCCCAAATCTGCTACTTAATGACAATTTATCTTTTTTATTTTTTAGCCACTCATGTGCTAAAACACGGTCAAGCGTAAGTCTCACAGTGACGTCAGGTTCCAAAATACGCTTGACAATATTAACAGCCAACGGTGACAGTGTTTTGAGTACCCGAGATCTAAAGACCCAATTTTTCCCCATCTGATCTTTCAGCAGCTTTTTAATATTGTCATCCTTAAAGGGCATCGTCCCGTTGAGCATTATGTACAAAATGATACCGAGCGACCAAACATCAGCCAGTTTTGGATTGTATGGCGTGCCAGAAACAACTTCTGGAGCAGCGTAAGCCGCAGACCCGCAGTACGTGTAGCTCAAAACACGTTTGTTTTCCTCGTCGACGCAATAGCGCGCAAACCCAAAATCGGCTAGCTTAACGTTGAATTTACGAGACAATAAAATATTCTCGCACTTCAAATCGCGGTGCGCAATATGTTTGCCGTGCAAATACTGCAGCCCTGAGGCCATTTGACGGAACCAGAGCTTTGACTGTTGCTCTGACACAACACCGCTGCGGATTATGTGATCCAATAAGTCACCGTTGTCTGCATAGCGCATGAAAATGAACACACGTGGTCCTCGTTGCAGTATGCTGTGTACCTGAGTGACAGAAATAAAATGAGTAAATAGTAATAATTTATATTCATAAAAATAAAAAAATTAGGAAATCAATAAATAATGTTTAAATAAAATACTTGAATGATATGCGGGTTTTCAACTTTTGTTAAAATTTCAAGCTCACGGGGAAAAAATTTTTCAAGGAAATCTGGAGGTGCTTTTTCTTTATCAAATATCTTACATGCAAGCCGCATTTTTTTTGAACTATTATTATCTAGGTATTCTGCTAGGTGAACAGTCGCATAAGAACCCTAGTTTATAATTATAATAATAATAATTATTATTATTATTATTAAGTTAATAGTAAAATAATAACTTACCTGGCCAATTTTTTTGCCAATAAGATAACCACGCTCCTCGAGAGCGCTGACTTCGGAATTTCGCGGGCTTAGTCTCGTGGCCATTCCAAATTTTCTTCATTTGCGAGACACTTATTAATTTTTTAATGAATAAAATGCCAATTAGTATTGGTTATGTGTCGAATAAATATACCAATAACATTTCGATTTGCGATAATTAATTTTGATAGTTATTGAAGTTATTATTGTCGGTAATTTTTATCAGCGAATTATAACTCAGGCACGAATGTCTCAAAGGATGATGCGAGTTACTGGAATTTAGTTAATCAAATCCAGTTTGTACCTTGTACACTGGAATTATTTAATAGGACAATATACTGTCAGCCATACTTGAAATTAAAATTAAAACAAATGCCCATCAAATACCTACTTCAAATTATTTTCTTATGGTTAATTAAGAACTAGTAATTTAATGGCATTAATTAATTAAAATGATTTATGAGTACCTAAGATTTTATATTAAAACTTTTAATTATTGTAGTTATAAATAATGTTTGCAAAACTTGGGTAAGTTATAAACTTTTTTTGTTTTTATTTAGTATTAAATCAAATTATACAGATGAAAATTCATTACGCAGCGGGATCGTCGCCCTTGGTGGTGCGGGTGTAAATAAGTTGAGCGTGGTGCTGTACAACTTGTTTAATCAGACCTTTTTGGTGAAGTTCGAGGAGTGCTCGCCTGGCAAGTGATCCACGGATCTTCAATCTTTCACTCACAATTGATGGAGTGATCAATTTGTATTGAGGTACTTCTTTGATTAATTTGTCATAGGTACCCTTGTCGAACAACACTGCGTTGTTTAACTTGTCACGGACTTTTCCTTTGGACCACTTCTGCAAATTTAATATAATTATATTAGTAATTTATTTAAATGCATTGCAATGATTACTAACAATATTGAAGTTAAATTAATTATAGTTTTTATTTTCAAGTGATATTAGAATTAAATTTGATTTATTTTTAAATAAAGTTTTTAGTGCTCTAAAAGCTTGATAAAAATTAAATAATTAAAACTATAATTGTAATTATCAATCAAGTATTACGACTAGTTCATTTAAACACTGAAATAAAAAATGATCTTTAAAAAAATTTAACTTAACAAGCATTTAAATAAATTATAATAAAAATTAATTGTTGATTAAAATAAAATATTTGTGAGTTGAGAAAATTATTGAAAAAAATAAAACGCACCTTCTTCTTGGCTTTTCCACCGGATCCTCCTTCCTTCTTTTTTTGGGTCTTTTGAGGTTGTTTGGAGGAACCTCCCTTCGTGTCCTTCTTAGGCGGCTAAAAAATAAATTTTACTTTTAGTTTTTTTGCTCAAAATAAAATAAAAATAAATAATGAATTTATAAAAGATATCAGTCTCATTAAATCAGATTTTGCTACCACGGTGATAGTCTAGATTTAAAATTATCGTCATGTTGACAAAAGTTAGGTTATGACTGCACTTTCATTCATTTATTAATTAAATATTTACTTGAGTAGTAAAAAAATAAGGAAAAATTAAAATAATTTTTTTAAATTAAAAAATGATGAATTTTGATAATTATTTATTTGTAAATAACAATAATAATAAAAGATTAAAAAATGAATTGCCATGTGACTCGACAAGAGGTCAACAATGGTTATAATATAATCACACTTTTTTAGAAATTTTTAATTGTAGAATAAAAATTTACTTTTTTTTAGTTTCATTTTGCAATAAATATTTTTATTATCAGGTGCAGTATAATTTCAATTAATTAAAATAACTGATAGCTGGAAACACTCACCATAATGACCGATGCACTGTAAAAGAAAGAAAGAGCTATCTGCGGTGTCGATCTTCGCAGTCGGAGCGCTGTGATCGCCGTTTATTGTCAAAAGAGAAACTAAATACAACTCAATAATTTAAATAATTTCATGAAAATCTTTTTTAATTAAATTTTTGTCGCTTAAATAAATAATTATTTATTTATTATTTAATTACTATTTAAACGTTAGTTTTCATTTATAAATTTAATTTCTAGTTTCAAAAGTAAAAGAAACGCGGAATTGAAACAGACCAGGGTCGTAGTAAATAATTTTGTACGAGAAAATTTTACCTGTTTGACAGAAATAAGTATATCAATAACAATGAGGTAAAAAGAGAAAAAATTTTATCTTTTTATTTTGGAATTATTTGTCATACGTTCCTGAAAAAAATTACTGACAATAGAGGGCGCTTACAAAATTTGATAGTTTTATAAATTTTTAAATTCTTCATTAGAAATTTTTTTTTTTAAAATATTGTTAAACAAATTTATATTTACTCTACAAAATATTTTTTAATCAATTAAAAAGAAATTTATGCTATCAATGCATTTCATTAAAATTATTTCAACAAAAAATTGAATTGTGTAGAATTTTAAATTAATTATAAAAATAAAAAGACAAATTAATTGCATGGTTAAAATTTTTAATCAACTATTAAAAAAAATTAAATTTTTGTTTCTTTTTCAGAAAATATAGTCCTGATTTCTTATTCCTTATTCAAACAAAAATGTTAGTTACATGACATAGACAATAATATTTGATTGGTTGGTAGGATCTTGATCTATTCCCTTTACCCTTCGCCAACGAATTCAAGCGATGGCGTTCACCCGTGCGTTCTACAGCCGGGAGTCGTTAAATTTATTAAAATAATAACACAACTAAAATGCTCTTTATATAAATAAACAAAATTATAAATTAACTTTATGTATTTATTTGGAACTAAATTTTCATCAATTCGAGGTAAGTTTTTTAATTTGACGTATCATAACCTTACGGTGACGTAAGGTTGTTGACACGTCAGACAGCTTTAATATTTCTTTCAATTAATATTTTATTGCAGCTATTATTTTTATTTATCAATAAATATAATTTAATTAATCGATATATATTTTTTAAAAAGTTAATTATTAAGTGTACTTGAAATTTATAGTCATTTATTTATTGCATTCTGTTCCTTATGGTAGACTTTTTTCAACTAGATATTTGAAATGAAAATTATGTTATTAATTTTATTTTAAATTAAAGAGTAGTTTTTTTTTATTGATAAGTTGAAAAATAATTTATTTAATAACCAAGCAACAGATGTTTGAAACATTTTATTTCAAATAAAATAACTTTGATAGTTTTTAAATTTTTCAATTCTTAAATGTTCTATTGTTAATTAATAAACCTTCTGCATTTTTTAAATAAAAAAATTCTATCTCCAAAATATTAATTTAATTTATTAAAATATTAATCTGGTGCTTTGTTACTTGCAATTAAAAAAAAACTGAATAACAAACTAAAATAATTACAGGTTAAAAGCTGATGAACTAGCAAGATGCTTCCATTATCGCACAGAGACGGCCGAGGGATCGGTAGTAAAATAAAAGAAAAAATATACAGCTGGAAAAGACTAATTTTCTCGGACCCAAACACAAGGAACTTATTTTTATTTTTATTCCTAAACTTATCATTCGCATTTGTCGAACTACTCTTCGGAATATGGACCAACAGTCTGGGGTTGATATCCGATAGTTTCCACATGTTCTTCGATTGCACTGGTCTGGTAGCCGGACTGGCAGCATCAGTGATAACCAAATGGCGAGCAAACGAGCGATATTCCTTTGGCTACGTCCGCGCCGAAGTGTTGGCTGGTTTCGTGAACGGATTAGCGCTCCTCTTCGTAGCAATAGGCATAATGTCTAACGCGGTGGAGCGACTGATCGAGCCGCCGGAAGTCAAACACGAGAGATTGTTCGCGGTCTCGGTGATGGGGCTGTTCGTCAACCTGGTAGGTATTTATGCATTCCAACACGGACATGGTCACAGTCACGGAGGTGGCGGGCATGGTCACAGCCACGGTGGAGGACATGGACACAGTCATGCTAATCACGGAGCATTGAGTAATCCTGCAGCTGCTAATCTGGGAGTTGGAGTCGGCATCAATATGGAGCAAGGACACGGACACTCTCATAATCACAACCACAATCATGATCACCATGAAATAGAAACAGACACGATGTTGCCAGCAGGGAACTCTCAGATTATGAAGGGAGTCTTTTTGCACATTCTCGCTGACACTCTTGGATCTGTGGGTGTAATTATATCGGCGATACTGATGCAAATGTTCGGATGGATGATTGCTGATCCAATTTGCTCAATGTTCATAGCGTTGATGATTATAATTAGTGTAGTGTCTCTGTTGAAAGAATCAGCAGTGATACTAATGCAGAGACAGCCTGTCGCGCTAGACCACGTTCTTCCTGGGTGTTACAATAAAGTAACGCAGTTATCTGGAGTTTACAGTGTGCAAGAGCCTCGCTTTTGGACTCTGTGCTCGGATGTTTATGTCGGGACTTTGAAACTGGAGGTCGCTAAGACGGTAGATCCTAAATACGTGGTAGCTCATACGGAAATGATATTCCACGCAGCTGGTGTCAGATATCTCACTGTCCAGCTAGACTACACGTCCATGTGATGACCGTATGTTAGTAATTATTGTAATGGTATTGATAATTTTGAGTATAAGTATCAGTATGAGAATCAACTGAGTAAACAATCGCCAAATTGTTGTAAAGTACTGTCGATAAACAGTGTGACTATTTGTGGTGCTTGTCAGAAAGAATTGCAATATCTTTCATTGATTAAAAATGTTGTTGGTCTTGTTAAATTTTTTGGCAATTATATTGTCACTAGAAAAAATTACTATAAATTTCATCTAGAAATTGTTTAGTTTTAATGATTTATTTTTAGTATAAAAATACTGCGTGAGTGAGGAGTAATTAATAATTAATTTAATAAAAATTTTCTATTACAATATTGTTATGACTGCGAAAGAAGATTCACTATAATTTTTATATTTTTATTTCAATTTGTATTAAAATAAATTCTTTATATGCATTTTTTAACTTTCGTCAGGTCAAATAGAAAATTTTGTATAAAAATTGAATTGTTGAATGTAATAAATTTATGTGCAGTAATATTTTAAATAGATTAAAATATTATTTGTAAAATAATTTTAGTGACAAGTCTTGACAATTTTTATTGTACATTTGTCCTTAATTTTGAGTATACATATAAAAATAATTATGGAAATAGATTATAAAAATGATTAGTTAATTAAAAACTAATAATAATTAGTTAAATATTGAAGAAAAGAGTTGAATGGTTAATGTATAATTTGTAAATATAATTAATCAGTCATCATGTATTGAACGGCTATAAAACAGAACATTTATATCTAATCTTTAAACTTTTTATAAATAATATAATAGTTTAAGTAAGACGTGTTGAAGTAAGTGGCAATGATACATTTATATATTAGCTATAAATCAGTAAAAAAATTAGTATTTAATGAAAAATGTACATTGAGGAGTTCCACCGTTTATTGGATTTAAATAAATGTAACTACTGCCAAATTATATCAGTTATTCAATCAATGACAAGTATATAAATTTTAAATTTACTTAAATGTACTATACTATAGTATTAGATATCATAAATTAGCAAGAATTTGCTTTCATGTACATTCAAAGATGACAGCTATAATTTTTATTTACAAACATTGATAATATTTTTTATTAAATCCAAGTTTTCGCAAGTAATTGTGTTAATTTTTCATTCTTTCTTTTTCAAGTTCAATTGAATTGACTATGAATAATACAGTACTAAGGTTTTGAAATGCTTTTTATACAATTAAAACTAATATTATTTTTTCAAATTTTAATTGTTTTTAAAAACATAAAAAAATAGTGTCTTGAAACTCTACGTGAAAAGTTAGCACTTGTTTAATAAATAAAAAAGATGTAATATTTAAAATATAATTTCATTGAATTAATCATGAACATTCCATACTTTCAAATAAAATATTTAAATTTCAATAAAGTAATATGAATTTAAAAGAACAACTTATGAATAATAAAATTTGTATATTTCTTGTGTAAATTTTAATAAATATGTGTTGGTCACTATATTATGTACATAAATAATTGGATAGATAGAGCTTTAATAATTATATTTATTGAATTATTTCAATTTATGAATTAAAATCTATATTTTACAATTATTTAAAATAACAATAATAAATAATTAAATACATTCAACCTGTTTTATTTTCACGATATGTGCACACATAAATTACATAAATATTTTTTTTATATTCCGTTAAGAGATTAAAAAGTTTACACAACGATTTTTATAATTTCAAGAGAATTTATTGACAAACTTAATTTCATTTATTTATTTAGATAAAAAAAATACAAAATAAAAAACTCTATAATCTACTGTCGATGGTTAACAATTAATTGTTATTTATATTAAATTAACATTTATATTTTTTTGCAATTGTAATTATAATTCTAATAATAATAATAATAATAATAATAATAATAATAATTGTAAAATTCATTAATAAACATCATTTATTAACTATGGATAAAATATTACAAGTAAGCAAATAAACCTGCTGGCGTAATACAAAACATATATTATTACTATCTTTTAAAATCTAATTTATATCGATCCACATATACAATATACGTATTTAAATTATTTATAACTAATTACCTAATGTTGAATTGTCTAACAGAAAAATTTTTTATAAAAATTTATGAGTTATATATTACCATTGAAATATATGTATCAACATTAATATAATTATAATAATATACATAGAATATAATTAATTATTAATGACATGCTAAGATCTAAAATTAAAAATCTTTTTTTTAATAATCATTGATCATACTTCATTATAATATATTAGTTTATTATTTATTATAATTATAATCTTTCATTTTGGCAGTTTTGTTTAAATTATACTACACAAATTTATTATTTATACAGTAACTGTACGGTTATGTCTATATATTTTATAAATAAAATTTACCAATTAACGCTAACAGTTATTGTAAATAAAGCTATTATTATTAATATTTATTATTACTTTTTTTAAGTCAATATTAATATAAATATAACGAGAATCGAGTATTGGGATTTATATATTTTTTTATTATATATATATATATATATTAATTTATATAATTTACAATTCTATCTATCGCAACAATATATATGAATTTATTTACAGTTAAACTTCTTATATAATTTTTCTTATCAGCGTTTTCACATATATAAATAGTTTATAATAGATGGATGTAATTATATAGTTTTTGCAAAGCTTTCGTTTGATAAATGTTGATAAAAATTTTTTATCTTATTCCGTCGACATCAGTAAAGTTGTAGTTTTTGCTCTCTAAGCTAGATTAATATTCACAAATTAATTTATCTATATCTACATAGTCATCGCTTTGTAGTAAGATTAATTTCTTTTGCTTGCGTTTCAAATTTTTTAGTTACTTAATTTTAAATAAAAATTTTGTTAAATTATTCTGTTATTAATAAAAATTTAAAGTATAAAAAAAATATTCATAAATTTTGCAGTCTCATAAAAGTTCATTGCAACGATATTAATTTTTAAAAAATTAATATTAATAGTGTAATACGGATTGAAAATGTCAATCATATTTCATTGAAATTAGCTATTTATAGAATATTCATTACAATGCATTACAAATTTATCACATTTTTTAATTTTCTCCAATCAAACATTTTAATTATAATACTCAATTGATCATTACAAATAATACAAAATTTATCTTGTGAATTTTATTTTCGATTTATTAATTAATGAAATTTATGCATTTATAGATCGTGAAATTTTTTTTGTGATAATTTATGATTGAGAATAATTTGTTAGCGGAAAAGATATAATTGAAAGATAACAAAAGCGATAATACCGTAAAAATTATACACATATTTTCCGACAAAAAAACACGAGTAAAAATGATGGGGAATTAATAGAATTAATACTGTTTAATGAGATTAAATTCTCCGAATGCTTCTGTTTATGAGTACAACAAAATAATCCATTGAAAATCGTTTTCTATAACATCGATCTCATAAACATTTTATAGAGACGTCGATTCAATTTAATGCATCACAACCCGCGCGAACAAAGAGCCGTTTATATTGTCATTAGACTGAAAAATAAATCGCTTGATTGAATATTTAAAGCAAATGTTTGAGTTAAAATGTCGGTAAAATTTAATGTAAAAAAGTCAATGGTTTCCACAAATGCGCCACTACAAAACTAAAAAGTAGTAACATAATTGTAATGGATAAATTTTTCCCGTATTTTAAATGACGGTCATAAAAGACTGAGCAAGCATTTAAAATTCCAGTTGCGGGTACACTCTACCGGATTTATTTTTTTAAGTGTATATTAAAAGAATTCCTAACAGCGAACATAAAAGGAAATTGTTATCGTAAAATGACTTGTATATACTTATACTTTACTAATATAAGAAGCTTAACTGTAACTGTAACAGCCTTTTAAATATCAATATTTTATTAAATGATTTAATTTATCATTATCATTTGTCATACAAATTCTGTGTATGATGATCAATATTTTTATTTTTTACTTAATAACGTCAATTAAAATTTTAATAATTAGAATAAAATAACATTCAGATATTGCAATTAAGCCGAAAAATGATAAAATATATTTGAAAAAAAATTATTCGATGAAATTTTAATACAAAAGAGAAATAAATATACTTTTTAGCGCTATCTCTTGCATGGTCATGACACAAGAGAAAAATGAAAAATGAGTAAAATGCGAATTCAGATATTAAAGGGATCATATTCTATTCCCTTTTAAAATGTCGGCGCTGACATTTTTTTTTATCTTTTAAATTATTAAAAATGAAATCTCTATCAGAGAGAATTTTTCTCGAAAATCTTCTTTAAAAGTGTGCTAATATTAATTTTATTAATAAAATAATTATTATAGAACGAGATTTTTTTATTTAATTACTTGGTAATTAAGCCAAAAGGTAAATTTTTATTTGTTTTTCTTTGTTACGTATATGGATATTCGTATATGTTTAGGACTATGACTACAAAATTCAACTATTATATTATCAAATATTAATTATTATTTAATATAAAATTTGTAAATACATTCATTATATCTAACTTTAATTATCATTTTTATTTCTACGTTATTGTTTAAACTGCATAATAATTTTAATATTAATTATTATTTGGTTATAATATAATTATTTTTTACTTATTAACTCATTCTATTACATTAGTATAACTTTTAATTAATAAAAATTCTCTTATTATTAAAATTTAAGTAATTAGATACTTTTATTAACAACGGTGGAATAATTTAAATAGTGTAAGTTGAAAAAATAAAAATTAAATATTTTTTTATATAAATAATTCAAATACTTTTTTTTTTAATTGCAACAATTTTTCTATTAAAAGTCGATGATATATATTAAAAAATTTTATTTGTAAATTTAATTAGAGTTTCAGTAAATTAAAAACTTTTAGATAGTACAGTACAGCACAAATTTGGCTTTATTGAACTTAAATAGTAATTCGTTACTAAATCAATGATATTTTTTTATTTTCGGTTTACAGTCTATGTAAGGTTGAAAATGATAAAATATAAAAATCAATAAAAAAAAGTAACAGATTTAATAAAAAATTAAAGAAGAAATTTTAATATCACCGGATTTATTTTTCTTTAAACCTGACAACGAAAATATTGCCCGCATCCAATCAAACCCATAAAAAATTTAGCCATAAAAAAAATTTATTTTTTTTTCCGCAAAAAATATACGAACATAAATGTTCGCGTATGTCATAAATATGTTGTCACATTTATAGTGTCAATATTTATGTCAATGTACCAACAAAAGTTATTGAAGATATTTCTTTGCGAACATACATTAAATTTTTTTTCCAAATATATATCTATATTTATATCCAAAGATATATATTTACGTGCGTCATCAGTCGCTAAAAGGAACAAAGAACTCGATACTTTCATTATCGGAAATACATTTAATTCTTTCATGATTTTGACGCTTGGGGCTTCAAAAAATCAAAGGTGACCTATTTTGGAAAATATTGAAAAAGTATCATTGATTTAGCATAAATAGTCTGCATATTTTATAAATTCTCAAACTTAAATCCGTCGGCGCCAGTTTCAACATCACTTCATATTAAACAATTACACTTGTAGAAGCGTACGTGAGAACCTTTATAACGATGTGTGCTGAAAGTGATGCTCAAATCTTTGAATTGCCACCGATAAATCCTTTTTATTAAAGCACATCAACTTTTTGCCGCAAAGTTATCTACGGTTTGATATATCGAAATGTTCTTGATGGTTTTCTCTACGACTTTCTTTTACGGGTTGTCAAGTAGTAGTAAATCACCCGAGGTATTAAATTTTTTCTTATCTTCATTACAAATTTATAACTTTAAATCATTTTCAGTTTTCTTTTCTTACGCTCATTACAAAAATTTAAAAAAGAAAAAATTTGAACACCGGTCAAGTTTTTAAAAAATTTATAATTTATTAAGTATTTTTATTTTTTTTATTTTGAAACTGTGTTAAAATTGAATATTAAAACTTTTAGGTAATAATTATTGTAAAATTTAATTATTCAAAAGTTTATAGTATCAATTGTAATTATTATTAAAGTTAAAAATTGAAATATTAATAATTGTGCATGCAGCTAACTATATAAAGTAGCACAGTCTTTATAAATTTATCACAAATATAATTTATAGTTAATAGTTATTACTTAAACTTACTCTTATTCTTAGAATTTTTCTGGAGTTTGCTTATTTTCAGCCGGCAAATAAATCCACCGGTGTAATTAATATCAATACGCTCCCCGTCTTCTACGGCAGCAACGAAAGCCTTAACAGCCTTAACATTAATATCCTTAGCACTTATTTCAAGTAAATTGCCCGGATATTTATCCTTGATCCATTTACCTAACGTAGTGCACTGATTTTCAGTGAGTTTAATACCATCAAGACAAAGCCAAGTTAGTGCTTGCAAGTTAGCAAGTACTGTTTGTATAAAGACATGTTCTATTTGTATACGTTTAACACTGTCAGTAACAACCAATCCGTTAGCTTTAAGAAAACTTAAATTACAAAGCCGTAGGTTTTTCGATATGTGTTTCATTGTTTTTTCACTATTTTCAAGTGTTATTTGCCAGTAATTTATTCTCAATGTCTGTAAATTTTTTAAATTCATCCCCAAGCACGAAAAAAATTGTTGTAATATTTTATCGTCTATATATAATTGCGAACCATTGTTATTACCTATTTCCGACTTATCTAATGACAAATCTAAATCACTTAAAGCTGTGAAACCGGCGATGAATGGTAGCAATAATGGCCCGCGTAATACTAATCTATCGTTGACTGATACCTGAAAAAAAATTTTTTATTATTTATTTTTAAAAATTATTGAAAAATATATTTTTGTAAGCAAATTTTATTCAAAATATATCTTCAAGAATAAAATAAATCATATGTAGTTGAAGAAATAAATTTATTAAAAAAAAGTCTGAAGAATAAATCATATCAATTTTGAAGTTTTTTCTTAATATAAACGATAAATTTTTTCTCGATGTACCAAAATAATTTTTTTCTTCAATATACACATAAATTGTCTGAGAAAAAAAAAATTAACAAGTCACTTATTGAAATAGTAAAAACCAATTGATGAAAGTTCATCCATCACGAGTGATTATCATTCGAATAAACTCAATCATTTTTTTTTTCCTCTATAATAAAATAAAAAATACGTTTTTTATTAACCGAGTTGACGTAAATACTATCAAACACTTTGACATGACACATCATTAGATACAACGTACAACATCACTCAAGGTAGGTTTCAGGCAACGTTTTATCGGATTTTTTCTCTCCATAAAAAGTAGTTTTAAATTAATAGCCATTTTATAAGTAAAAACTATGCGTGATATGTTCGCTAATTGTAACTTTAAAATAAAAGCTAACAAATTTTTTGTACTCCCAGCAAGTAATTTTTTATAGTTAGATAAAGAATTTTTGATTTTGATTTAAAAGAGAAAAATTTTGAGCGATATGTAATATGAGAAATCGATAAAGTGCGAATAGAAGCTTTGACCGATGTTCCTCAGGGTAGAATAAGCTTAAAGCTCGTTCCCTTTGTACGAGATAGCTATTTGTCAGAGTCTGATGGTCCTCACTCAATACCGTGCGATATATCCATCTATCCATCCACATATATATACACGGACGGATAACGATATAGGTAGAGGTTGAGTGTAGATGTAAAGATACAGACACATGTATACTCACTTGAAAACCGGCCAGACGGAGGAAAACTATCGAAGGGCATGTAGGGGGTGGCGCAGCCCTCAACAGTTCCGCTCCTACATCGTCTCTACGACCTAATCTTGAAAGTGGACCTTCGTGAACGGCTAGATGCAGACGGGCATTGCACAAATTTAATTCACGTACACTTGTGCACATCAATAGCTCCGCAAATACTGCCAGACTGTCAGATTCCTGTAATTTATTCATTCATTTTATCAATGGGTGTACATGCTTCTCTGATTGTAATTACGTTAATAATCTGTTTGTTTTAGACAACCACAATGTCACTTCATTCATAGTCCATTTTCGACACTACTATCTGTATAATTAAGAGAATAAGGAAAATTTTGTGCCGGACATTGTAAAATAGATTTCTATAGTGATATTTGGTATCGTCAGGAAGGTATTAATCTGAATTTATAAATTATTAAGATTTTATTTATTATTTTATGGAAAATTTTTGGAGAAATTTTCAAGTTTGTTTTCTTTAAGCATTCGTTTGAAAAAAAATTTTATTTAATTATTGGTTTTGAATTTATTTTATAGTACATTGAAAAAAAAAATTAACTTAATTTGAAAGAAAAATTCTTGAACCAAAAAAATAATTTTGAAGAAGGTAATTCTCAATTGTCTTGAATCAAGACAAAAAATTCTTAAATCAAGTAAAATTTCCTTAAATCAAGAAATATTTATTAGTTTAATAATTTTTCTACTCAAATCAAAAAGATTAAGTTTTTCAAAATTATATTCTTGATTTAAGAATATTTTTTTTCTGTGTACCTGAACTAGATAAATTGTGATTAAGAATATCAAAAAATCTAAAACCACAGTCCTTTTATCCATAATTTCATGCATATTGTTATAGTGGTTCTATGACTCTATATCCGCAGACAAAATATCCCCGAGGATATTGAGGGTTAATTTAACACATTTTTAATATTAAAAATATTATTATTTTAAATTAAAAATATTATTGAACAAAATATTAAAAATATTTTGTCCATGAATTTTTTATCCATGGATATTTTATTCGGCAGATTTTTTTGTCTTAAAGATATTTTGACAAGGATATTTTATCGGGAATATTTTGTCCGCGGATATAGAGCCTGGTTACCGCTATAGTATCGTTTACGAAAATAATTATCATTTAGATAATTTTTTTTTTATAAATATAAATTCCCTATGACGTCACAGAAAAACTAAAAGAAAAATTTGCCTTAAAAAAATTACGATAAAACTCTCAAAGCTAAATTGACTTTCTTATTGTATCTTTAATAGATTCTTTAGCTTAAATATCAAACAAAACAAAGAAGTCTTCAATAAATAAGCATTGAAGATCAAATAAAATGTATGAATATAAATATACTTAGTGAAGGAAATAAAATACGAGGATGAAAAAAGTATAAAAAAATATATATCTGTATTGAAAGCCGATTTAATAGTAAGTCAAGGAAGTAAAGAGATTAACTTTAATAGAAGACGGATTTGAAATCATTTCCGTTTGACTTATCAGTGCAATCGGTGGTGATTTGGCTTTCTTAAAAATCAATATTTTATCGCTTTTTTCATTTACTTTTTCTTATAAAATCAAATACATTTTACGCTCAGTAATTTTTGTAAATATTTAATACCCATCTATCCTTAATGACCCATTAGTAATGGCTAATGAGCAAGTCATTCGAAGAGAAGGTAAAAACGCTTGATAGGAAAAAATATCTTGTAAAAAACTTAAGTTTTTAATTTTACTTTTTATTTAACTATTCATACTTGGATAGTTGGCTAATTAATTTAATTAACTTTTTTGATAAAAAAGACTTTAGGTAAACCATTTTTCTTCTTTTTTTTCACATTTATTAATCCGCGTAAACGAACTTATTTTAACAATGATAATGGGATCAATTTGTAACTGAAATTGGGTTTTAATTCATCAAGGCGGATCGTGGATAATCTAAATTCTGTGGAGACCGTAGACTGTATATTAAACAGTGATTTATGAAGTAATTATAACGTACACGTAAGCTAGGCAATAAAGTGTTTGTATGTATTTAAATAAACCAGAGTTTATGGGTCCTCATGTAATAACCGTTGGATTATCTCTAGTAGACTCTAATATATGACAAAACCAAGTGATAACATATATTACAGTCTCAATGTATTCATTAGTCATTCACCAACATGAGTAAATGCTTTTTTCTCATACTCATACCATAAAAATAAATACTTTCATTTATTATACACAGCCCTTTATTCTTTAGACCAATGTTAATCTAAATTTCACCTTTGTCTTTCACCTACCAATTTATTTTCACGTCAATTTACTGTATAGTACCTACGCTGGCCTTTAATTATAATTTATAATTTCAATGAAAGTATATTATATTTAAATTGCTTGAATACTTTTATAAAAAGATACCTTTTTTTGAAAATAAATAAAACAATAAAGAATAACGGTGGTTATGGTAATAAGAATAATAATAAATACTTATTAACTTTTTGTTTTATTTTTTTCAGTTTTTAATTCTTTCTCTCTATTCGGGCTTTCTTTACACATGTAACACTTACACGAGACATACGTGTGATAATTCTATAGATAAATCCAATTAACCTAGATATTCTTTGACAAAAAATTTAAGAAAAGAATCAAAGAAAAAAATTCTATTTAAATAAATATAAATTATATTTAAAAAATTTTAAGGCGAATTAAAATTTGTGCTTTGTTTTCAATTAAAATAAATCCAAAGGAATTTTTAAGAAAACTTAAGATCAATGATTACTTAAAAAAAAATTTTTAGTCTAAAATTTATTGATAAAAAATATATTTTTTTAATTTATGCATTTGAGTAACTATTCAATTATTAAAAATACGAATAAAAAGATATAAATAACATTCCGTGGCAATCAATATGTACTGATTGATAAGTTAATTAATTAATCAGTTAAACTAAATTGAAATTTTTTAAACAAAATTTAATCAATTTACTACTGCGAGGGATGAAATTAAATTGGAACGTACTAATTATTTCATACAACAAATGAATTCATTTCGATGGTTTCCTTTGAACATTTTCAATACAAAATGTAATTTATTTAAATTTAAATTAGGTACATTACAGCTAATTTAATTAATTTTAATAGAAGATACTTGAAATTGAAGCAGTCAATTGACATTAATACTACATTTAATATTAGATGATTGGAATTCTTTGACAAAATAAATTTAATTAACTTCAATAGACGTGATGTAACTAAAGTTGCAATTTTGTACACTTATAAGAAAGTTAATTTGATTTAGGAAAAAAAATCCTGAACCAATAAAATCATTTTAAAGAATTTTGTTATTAAAAATTTCTTTGTCTTGAGTTATGCAGAAAATTTCTTGAATCAAATGAAATTTACTTAAATCAGGAAAAAATTTCAAGAATAACTATTAGATTATTATCAAGCTTTTTTTTTTTTAAATAAATTTTACAAATATTTAAGCGTGGAATTCTATTGAGTTGTTGAATTTCAGAACACATTTATTTTTGATTGTGCATTATTATGATTAAATGTAATTGTTTACTACCATCAATTTAATTTGGAAAAATAAGTAATTGAAATTTTCATGCCCTGATTCACTGATAAAATTTAAATTCAATAGGTTTTGTGGAATAAATTGTAAATGTTTAGCTGAAAGGAGTGAACATTGTGTACAATAGTGACTTGTAATTACAGAGTTGAGTCTTAATAAGTATAAATAAGTATGTATAGACGTTAGATGTATGTATGTACAATATATTATATGTATAGGCAATTGGTTGTACATAAGAAGAGACTCAAGAGATATTCAAAGACTAACAATACAAACACAATGCACTGGTTCGTTTTCAGAAAGATTCACAAGGGACCGAACCTGAAACTAGTGTAAGCTCCAGAGATGGTACTTGGTAATTGGAGACTTTGCTTCCGTAGCACGTTTCGATATTCACGTTCGGTGAAGGTGTACGTAAAGGGTTGTACCAAGACCAAGGTATGAGAAAGTTTAACAGTTTTCGAATAATAGGATGCTATGAAATGTCACTGAGAAATATATATATATATATCTATGTATTATACAGTTGCCTAGTGCAAATGCGCTCCAACTTTGCTCGTTCATTGTTATAGAGATGGGTTGTTGGGGATTCGTGGCCTGAATCAAATGGTCACTGAGTTACAGAGTACCTTATTAAACTGTTCAAGTTTTGCTTTCAATCGACTAAAAAGATTATCTGTTTCTTATAATTTTCTAGATTCTTTCTTTTTATTTTTTCGGATTTTTGTTCTTTAGTGAAAAATTTAGCTGAGTCTGAAAAATAAAATGGAACATGAGATTGGAATCTAGATTGACTGGTAATCAGAGAATTTCCAGAGATGTCAGGACGATATGCCAGTGTTCGATTTCCGTGCAGATTGTAAACCGCAATCGAATCAGGATTTGGTAACTTTTTCTGATTAGAAATGATGGAAAATTTATTTCTACAGCGAATTTGACTTGGATTTGTTGGTAAGTTATAAAAAGAAATGGAATCCGATGAAAAATTGAGAGATTTTGAAATAGATACAGAATAGCAAAAAATATTGTTCGTCTTTGTAGATTTGATATTCTTCAGGTAGTTTTTGCGCATAAAATCGATTGTAAGAATTTTTTGTACCATCAGATGAAGAATAAGAAGATAAAGTGACACTTAGCAGTAAGGTCTGGCTTTTTATGCCTTGAATTTTTTATCATACTTTTAAACTAAATGTATTCCGTTGAATTTTGAAATATAACTAATGATTAAATTTTATATCTTTTGATTTTTTTATAATCCCATATATGTGCACTATAACTCTAATACTGGCGAGATTTTTTTCTTGATGGAAGGTTTTACAATAAAAAAAATTTTTCCGGCTTTTATCAATTATTCAGCTTTTAGGGTATTAAATTTTCAACAAATAAATCCTATTAAATTAAATCTGCATGTCAGAGGGGTTGGAGATTGTTTTTTATTAAAAGTCTTATGGAAATAAATATTCAATATGTTCAAGTTTTGACAAGGTTGAAAAAACTTACAAAAAAGTTATAAGGGATTCTAACTGTACAAAATTGAAAAAAATTTTCAAATATTTTGCATTGACATCATGTGTTATGATTATAATTATCAATAATTTTATGTTTCTTTAATTAATTCATTTCTCGGAACCGTAAGTTTAAAACTAATTTAGAGGAAGCTTTTATTTGATTAAAAATAATCTTCCTCTCCTTTGTTATTTTAACAGTGAAATATGTCTCGTAAAAAATGTAAATATATTTTGGCAAAGAGTAAAGTAGAATTTAGAGAAAAGTTTTATAAAGATACGTTACCTCTATTCTAAAAGTCCATCCTTCAAGACTGAGTAGACGAAGAGTTTCATTCCTCGCTAGTGCATGGCATAAAAGTCTTGAGGGATGATCATCAATTGCGAGACGAGGACTCGCTAGATCAAGAAGTTGGAGACAGGGAGCCTCAGTAAGTGCAAGAACAAGGGGCATAATATCTATTGGCCTTGAGGCACCGGCTGCTCTTACAGCATCCAAATTTCTGGCTCGTCTGATTGTTTCCCCTAGACAACTCGCATCGAGACTTCCTTGTAGACACTTTGAGACATTCAGAGATCGTAATTTGCAGTTTTGTTCCCTGAAACAATTGTTATTGTATTGTTATTTTTATCGAACTTTGTTGAATTACTCTGTAAACTGCGGGTGCTGTAATTAAAACAAATATAAAACAAATTTTTTTTCGCATATATCAGATTTCCATGATGTAGAAGATCGTTTTACTCGCCAAAAAACTTATTTGCTATCGTGTTTCACGAGCAAATTTCATCTACTCGCAACGTGCAACTTTAAATTTTTCGCTCCCTTTGGATTCATTTCACAGAGGAATCGAATTTTTTTCTCGTTGTTTTACAGCAAAATCGACTTGCAAAAGTGTTTCTATTTTTTTACACTGGGTATCGCTGAAGTTCTCTCTGTCAGTTAACTGTTAACTATCAACGGCTTCTAATTGATCTTCTGTTAAATGATTAACTAAATACCTCCATGCATTTTACTTTGGGTATACCTGAATGTGAAAAAACAACCACCAACATTGGAAAACTGAACTTTAACTTTATTACACGGTTTTTTATTTACTCATACCGGCTTTTTTTTTTTTTTTTTTTTTTCAAATCAATTTCACCTGAGTAATATTTGGCGATCTCATTACACACGCTGACCCGGTTCGCTGTGCAAACAAAAACGTAAATTCAAATTTTCTCTCTTTAGATATGTGCATTTATTATGAGGGTAAGTTTCATCGAACCGTGTTTGTAATTTTTTTTTTTATCCGTTTCTTTGTTGAAAAGGCTCTTTGCGCTTATTTATTTTTTCATATATGTTCCTACTCATTTAATTTGTAATTAGTAATTAGCTTTTAGTAGTTTGCTTTTTTGTTAATTAAATATGTGAAAGTAAATAAAAAAGAGATTTTTTATTACGTTCAAAGCATTGGATTTTTTATTCGAATATATTAAAACTCATCAAGTATTTTTTTTTTATATTTTGTTTTCATATTTTATGTGTTTATTAATCATGGTAGGTAAAATGATCAAATAATCCAGAAATATTAATTTCAAAAAAAATAAATCATGCAAAAATTACTCGTTGAAAATAAACTCATGAATAATAATAAAAATAATAACTTGTAACAAAAATAAAAATTTTTCATTAAAATATTATTTAATTTAATGAAAAATAGTTATTTATATCAGATTATTTGCGCGTAAATATTCAACAAATTCAAAAATAGGTTCAAAGTGATAAAATTTTTCAAAATTATGAAACATTTTATTAAATTAAAAAAAAAATTATAAAGTTATTCACGTCAAGCTTCATTTAAATAATTATCAATTATATATAAAGAGAGACTAGGACCTATCAGTATTAATTAACATACAGTTTAAATTTACACAGATAATTAAAACTGCAGTGCTATCATAATTAATTAACCTATCAGTAAATATATTCTACACTATGTTCATGATATTATCCATACTCATAACAAGTTACAATCAATATGGGCATGTAGACTAAAATTGTATTAATAGATGATTGTTATATAAATACTAAAGAGTAAATTAATTTGGTCATATTTGATCAAAGTAATGCATATAATTAGGGCTAATGGAAATTTTTGTGTCGGACATATCTTTGTTATAAAATAGATTTCTAGAGTGAAATTTGGTATCATCAGGAAGGTATTTATTTTTATTTATTTTTTGACGATATTCAATTTTTTATGGTAAAATTTTTGAGCAATTTTTAGCAGTTCGTTTTTTTAAGGCGATTGTTCTACAGGATTTTTTATTAAATTATTAGCGATTGATCCTATCACGGTAATATTATTTTTTTGAATTCATTTAAAAGTATCTAAACTATGGAAATTGTAATTAAAAATATAAAAAAATCTAAAGTTAAATTTCTTCTATTCATAATTCATAATTCTCGACAGTCACATAGTGACTGCAGGTCGCTAATTTTAATTAATTATTAAAACTTATGCGGTAATAAAATTTGGTGAAATAAAAAATAAGAGAAGTCTGTACAGCAACGTTGATGTACTGCAGTAGGATAGTATAGCTTAATTAAAGAGAAAATAATTACCGTATAGTACTGAAAATTTCATGAAAACCCGTTCCTTGATGACAGGCGACGTCACAAGTGGGAAGCGGATGCATCACCGGGAGACGATGACAAAGTACGCTGTCGCTGTTTCTTTTGCTGTTACCAGAGCTGCTGTCTTTGTCATTATCATTTTGTGGAAGTGTGCCATTAGTAGTAGCCGGGCTAGGATTGAGGCCAATACCTAATGGCAGACGAGGTAGTGTTGCTGGTCTAGTCAAACTGCCATAAGCTGCGAGGGTACCACGTGGAAGAGAAGAGTAGCAGCGATTAACGGATAATGCTCCGAGTGTGTTTGATGCGCAACCGCTGCTTCCAGAGCCCGACCCAGACCCTGTATTTTATTTATACTAATTATCTATACAATTAATGCTTTGTGTTACATGCATTTGCTTAACATTTATCTCTGTACATCCAATGTAACGCCACAAAGAATTTAAGTGAAAATTTACTATCTTCTTTTTTTGGTAATTATTTTTCCAACTAAACTATTTCGCAGGAATTCTAACTTTAGCTTTTATTTTACGAAAATAGATTTAAGAAATTTACATTTTTTAAGTTTAATGAATGTAAAAAAATATGTTACAACTCTACAACTTTAATTAGAAGTTGAGAAAATAAATGTAATGAATTTTTTTAATTTTTTTACCGAGTAATTTTTAATAAAAAAATTTTAGCCAATATTTTGATATCTGAATAATCATTTTACATTGCGGATTTGGAGGTTTAATTCAATTATTGAACGATTATAGGATTTTAATATTGAAAAAGAGGTCATCCATGTATTACATCACACGATTTTCTATATATTTAAACCTTTTATTCCTCTCGAGTCACATTTCTGTCGAACCCTTCCCTTATAAAACGTCTCGTTCTGACACTCCTACCTTATAATTCAATAATGGTGGTAATTTTTTTTTTTTCAGCAATTAAATTGAATCGTAATTAAATTTTTCAGTCCTTGAATTTTAGTTGTTCTATTTTAAATGAATTTTTCTATGAAATACAAGTGAATTTCTTAACAGTTGGAATTTTAACGAAGACCAAAAACAATTATTACTTTTACAAATCTAAGGCGAACTCCCTTCTCTCCTTCAGATTCTTTACGAGTGACGTAATGCATAAACGACCCCAAAATATCTTAAAGAGCAATCAAAATTTTTTATAATCAGTAATAAGTAATTGTAAAAGAATGAAAATAAAGAAAACTTGAACTTTGGACTGATACCAAGTATGATATAAATAAAAAAAGTAATTACCATTATCAGTGAAACCCATAATACGAATAAAAGTATTAAAGCTCAAGGGATTTAGACTTTGAAAAGAGTGTTTAAGTTAAATCGAAGGAGTATTTTTTCTTGTCAGCTAACTGGATGGATGGCGGATAGAAATAATTTAAGATTTTGATAGCAAGGTAGAAATTTAGTTGGCAAGCGAATGTCATAGAGGAAATTGAATTTACCCATACTAATCCCAGAGCTTGATGGATCTTCGGTTTTAGTTCCCCAGCTTCCGGCGAGATTGAGTGCAAACAAAGGTCTTTCTTTGAGAAGGTTCGCAACAGATGCCAAGCCATCGCTGCCGCAGCTCAAATGGGGCAAGTGTAGTGCCTGTACTTGAGCACAATCCCGGAGTGTCTTGCAAACCCTACTGACTTGCTCGCTGGACAGATTCATATCGAGTACCACTCGTGATAGGTGAGGAGAAGCGTTTCTCAAACCTTGACAGAGGGCACACACCACACACTCCAGCCTGCAACAAATAATTCAATATTTCAACTTTCTTCTTCTTCTTCTTCTTCTTTTTTTTTTTTTTTTTTTTTTCCTTTGTAAAATGACAACTGACAAGTAATTCATTTCAACATGTACTATTTCATTTCCTGGTCTGGTGATAAAATTATTTGTTGATATATCGCGGAAGAATTATAACTTTTTTTTTTCTTTTGTATTTTTAATAAATTTTCTTTTTCTCGAGGAATTTTTATCTTTCGGGTTTTATTTTATCTCGACTGTGCGGCAGCGATGCCGGAAAAGCTGGACAAATAAAGATTTTATATTTTCTATTACTTTAGTAAATGTGTGTATTCCTCTTAACTTTTATTGTATTGTGTTTTATTTTATTTATTTTATACTTCCCTCAAGTTTACGCAAGCTAATATAGATATAGATATATAAATTTTTTTTACTTTTATATCCTCACATAATCATTATGAGTCCTTTCTTTAATTTAACAAATAGCTACGGATATTTTCATCCTTGATCCTCCGTAATTTTACTTTTTTAACCTATTTTATGGAGTATTGTTCTTTATTTGAAGAGCGTGGATAGAATATTTCCTCAGAAATTTTTGTGGCTGGCCTTTGTTTTTTATTTATTACTTATTAAATTTTTCTTCACAAAAATTATTGTCCGATTATTTTTATTTTCCTAAATTTATAAAATATTAGAGGTTTTTTTGTGCTCTATAAATATCCGCCACATGTTGGTTTGGCCACGTACATTTTTTGGTAATAAATTTCACCCCAAATTTTTTTGAGATAAATTGTTTTAATAAATAATTTTTTAGTGTTTTAAAAATGACTACTATCATCGGTTCTAGATAAATAGCTTTTGATGGAAATAAATCTTTTATCAGTTTACATTTTTTCTTATTTAAAAACAAAAAAAAAATATTGAACAGTTGAATTAAAATTAAATTGATTAACTATCTCTTCCGTTCTGTGCAAAAATTATTCGGAAATGAAATATCGCGTTACAGATGCCTCGAGGGCATAGATATCCTAACAAAAAGTACCGTTGAAAAGGTATAACATTACTGAACAAATTTTTTTTGATAATCAATAATATATTTTTTTTTCTTTTTAAGGATATCGAACAATGAGTTTAAAATTATTTTTATTAATATTTTTTTTGAAATTTTGAAGTGAACTCGACAAGCATAAGCTTTGTCCAAATAAAAAAATATCATCTGTCAGTTAATTAAAAAAATAATGATTCCAATTTTTTTTATAATGACAAATATTGCGATGAAAAATGTTCATGACAATGTAGTTATAGATTTCAACCATCAATATTGTATTTTCAAATGAACTTTAATAAATATTTTACCTAAAAAGGGTTAATTTTTTTACTTGATCGTTTGGTAAAGATAAAAAATGCACTAAGTAGTATAGAAAAATTTATAAACAAACTTTATACTATCATTATAAATAACGATTTTTATCCAATTAAATATTTAAGAGCTAACACGCATATTTGTATTTTAAAGAATATATTACTCTAGACCTTTATAATTTTATTTTTACTCCTCATTTGTTATTTATAGAAATAAACATTATTTATCTATATTTTTATCGTAATCCCAATGAAAATCCAGACTTTATTTCCTTTCAGAATTTTTTCTTATCTGTCAAAAAAAAACTACTCTCAATAAAAATACTGCAGTATTTTTTTATATAGTAGTGACTATGAACCTTGTCGAGTAATGGGTCAAAAGACGAAAAAAAAAAACAGTAACATTACCTGTCATTGGAGGATTCCTCTAAGCACGTAATAACAAGTTCAAAATCATTAAGTTTCTTTTTGCTGAGCACACTCTTGAGATATTCAGCGAGTCTTTGTGTTTCGTCTGTTGAAAATTCTTGTCCTAGCAGAGAAGTTATTCTAACAAGTTTAACACTCTCATTGTTGGAAAGAGCATTGAAGAAATTATTTAGATAAGTTGGATCAGATCCACGTTCAACTTGAAAGACAACTTCAAGGGCTTCGAGTGTACAAGCCGAACTGGAAAGTATTTTAGTCCATCCTTCCAACTCAAGCGGTGATATTTGAACTAATGGAACAGGAGGTTTCTCATTAGGGGTTGGTCCGAACCCGGACGCTGCTCCAAATAGTCGGCAAACAGACAGGATATTATTGTCTGACGTTCCTGCGGCTTTAAGTAACGAGAATATCATTCGCGGAGGAATTTCCAGGGGGCAAAGTTGATTAAGTATCAAATACGTTCTGGGTCCGAGTAACGCTGCCAAGTGACTTATTATTTCAGTGGGCAATCCATCCAGTTCATTTCTCAGAATGTTTGTGAATTGCGATACCGAGGCGAGATAACACGCCGCGAAGTACTGTATCACCGCAAGATGGATCGGCGTATAAATTTCTGTTTTTCTCCGATGTCCGAATGTAAAACCGCGTGTTAGGAACCCGAGTCTGGTGATATCGATCCCGCCCCCACGAGTTCTCAGTTCTGTTTCAGTGTAACAGCATTTTCCTTTTCTCAAGCTCGACAGAGAAAGTTTACCAAAGTCTTCGAGTTTTTTCTTGTAATAAATCGGTATCTCTTCATCGGGAGTCAGCGGGTCTTCCAAACTTTTCTTAACTACCCCTTTGATGGCCTCTTGTATCAAAGTGTTACATTCACTCGGCAATTTTCCAGCGTCACGATAAAGTGAGCACAACATAATCCAGCCTAATGGATACTGGATAAATTCCTTCGCGGACTGAGACTGGACATTCAAATTCTCTAAAAAATCACAGGCGTGCTCGGATAAATTGTTGTGGATAAAGTAAGCCACGCAGAGCTTCTCAACATGAGACCACTCCAGCCCAGTTAAAAGGATTCTCCGCTGCACCATCGTTGACAAGCTTGAAGAATTATTTGGCGTGCAGGTTACGAGAATTCTTGCGTCGGGAAAAAGTCGGGCTTCTAACAGATCTGCGGCGTCCGCTAATGACGCCTTGGCACCTGAACACTCGTCATACCCGTCGAGAATAAAAAGCACCCGGTCTTCCAACAGATGAAGTGTTCGCCAGACTTGCGCTATCGCATCACCCAGAGCCGCGCTCTTCGGCAAAAATTCACGCGTCAAGTAATTTATAATTGAGTTGCCGCGTAATTCCCGGAGCGGGATCATGAATGCGAGGGCCGGGCCGTCGCCTTGGTTCGCCCATTGATGAAGTAGTTTCAAGCATAAACTTGTCCGGCCACTTCCCGGGCCCCCTTCTATTGCGACACGTCTCGGTCCTTCTAGTAAAATTCCGTCGCTTAGCTGGAAAAATAAATGTTTATATTAAATATGCTATCTGCAGGGATCTCGGTTAGGATTAGAACGGTTGGTAATTAATCATCTGGGTAATTAATCATTATTTTTGCGGGTCTATGACTTTTTTTATTCGTTTAATTGTCCGCCTTAAGGGACGAAAAGTTGAGGGTCCTCTGCTCTCATTTAGGTTAAATTATATTTGTGATTTACATGGTAGTATAAATTTGTGTCAAGTTACTTTTTTGTCGACTAGAAATTTTATTCATACGATGAATACATACGTTTGATATTTTTATGTGTTATGTTACTATTTATTTATTTTTTTTTATAAATAATATTCAGAAAAATACGGTTGTGATTCATATTTTAATTTTATCAATTCGATTGAAAATCTCTTTCTTATAAAAATGCTTTAGAATATGCGGTATAAATTTATTCTAAGTTCATAGAAGAATTTTTAAAATACACACGGACAAAAAAATTAACTTGAATCAAGAAAGGAAATCTTGAACCAATAAAATGTTTTTAAAGCTGGCAATCAAAGTGTGTTTTTTAAACTATAATTTATTTTTTAATTATTTGATTGAATTGTTTATGTTTTTAATTTTTTAATTGAATATTATATTTCGTGAAAATTTTAAACAAAAAAAAATAAAATATTCTATTCAATAAATTACCTCATTTTTAAAATATATATTAATTTATATAATAATGAAATCGAAGTTTATAATTGATTAAATCATCGAAGACCCACCGCCTTTATAATCGCGATTAATTAAAAACAAATATCGAATAATTAACTGATTTGAAGGCTCAGCGACTCAGCATGTATTGATATAATTAATGTATTATATTGTGTAGAATAATTAATGAAACGGGTTTATATCCGATTTATGTTCTACACTAAATCATCCGTTCAAAGATGCTAATTTGTGACATAAATAACAGGTATAATTATGATATCTGTGATTAATATATATTAGTTTACATACTCGAACTGATGAAAATATTTGGTCAATTTTGATTCTCTCCAAACGGTGCTCTTGGTCGTTGTTGTATATTAGCTGTAAATGGGGTTGAAAATGCGCTGGGCAAAATGTACCGGCTGGAAGAAATGAAGTCCATGGTGGCAAGTGATGGGGATCTCTGGTAGCTATTTCTTTGTAAAAGCTCTTCAAGTATCTGGTAAGCACATAACATAAATAAATTTAATTTATCTTAAGCTTATTGCCTGAAACTTGGGAGCAAGTAAGCTTAATTGAATATATACTGAGTTCCAATAAATTGAGTGTTAATATATTTTCGATTAAGCGCGTTTCGAGTAACTTTAACCTGTTTGAGTTGCTTTGGCAGCTTTATGTTCGCTTTATTATGCACCGAACCGTGCGCTGAACTTGAAAGACTCTTTGGTGTTACTTCAAAATAAAATATTGTTCCCCGGTTGATATTTCACACCGTAAGGTAGTTTAATATCGACCTTGCGTAATTAAATTTATTTTCCGAGAAGATAATAAAATATTTTCTTGTCGAACAAAGAGATATAAAAAAACATTCTTTTATAATAAATATGTAGACCAGAATTTAGACGCGGGCACGTTGAATTCTAGTATTCTAAAAAGATGAAGTGAAAGAAGATAAGTATTTTTTTAAATATTTAAATGCACTGAGATGCGGTAAAAATGAATGGAAATATTTAAGGGTCATATTATGCATCAAAATAAAAAAAAAAAGGAATAGGAAGGAACTGAAGTACTAAACTGAGTGATTTAAATTTAAAAGACTCAATCTGTTTACCTAACCGAAGTGATTTAAATAAAAATAAAATGAAGATGTTTTTTTTTTTTTTTGGTTTTTATTTTACCGAAGTAGTCGACCAACAGAATCGCGATCGGGTGAAGGATGTCCACTTGCACCGTCTAATTTCCTGGACGACGCTCGGACACTTGATAGATAAGCTGCAGGGGCTGGAGGCGGGCTGCAAGGTGGATAGCAAACCGGACTACTATCTCCTGGTGTTGATACAGCAAAACTCTTTTCCAGTTCCTTTAAATAAAAATTTTTTTTTGTCAGTAAATTGAATGGAAAATCGTTGGAGATAAGCTTATTTAATTTTTTATAAATTGTATACATCGTAGAAAATTACTTTTTAAAGTTATCGTCAATAGCTTTTTAGTTTAAATTTATTTTTGATCATTGGAATAAGTTTCTACTTGGAAAAATCAATTCCTGCGTAGAGAAAAAATTTTTTAGACTTATCAAGAAAATATTTATGAGGACCATAATTATTCTAAGCGAAATCAAATTTTCTTGAACGCAAAAAATTTTCTTGCATAAAGAAAAATTATACGTGGATCAAAACTGTTTTGATTTTTGTGGCTTAATTACATTTTTTTTTTCTGTGTACTCTCGTAGTTTCTTAAGCCAAAAGCTTATCAATAATATCTAAAGACATTTCTATAATAAAAATGTAATAAAAAGCAGTCGTCGTATAAGAGAAATAAAAAACCATACTTAAAAAGAATTACTCATAAATCGATTGTTAAAGTAGAAAAAATAATACCACCTCTTTCAGGTTTTACGAAGATAAAACAACGTAAAACTTTCAATACATATTTTCGATATAAATGGAAGTTCAAATTATCCATAAAAAGAAATCATGACTCTTTTCATCACTATTTATTTTTAAAGATGTATGGGCATGGTCGTAAGTATTATCGTATATTAAGGTTCAATTTTTTTACAGAATTTTACATTGGTACTTAAATAAAACATTTACTTTCGGATGTTGAGATTAAATATACCTCAGAGAGCAGCTCTTAAATATTAAAATTTTTTTGCATCTATTAGTCTCACTAATAAAAATTATAAAAAAATAATCCATTCTTTACGGTATTCCGAATACTTAATGAAGTCACAAAATAAATTGAAGCTCTATTTTTATCCTGATTATCCATTTATAACCTTTATATAAAGTTCAGCTAATTCGTGAGAATTTATTGAATACTTGTGGTAAAATAAAATTCAATATTGTTAGCGATATCTAAAACTTAAGTTATTTCAATATTAAAATATATAACTGGATAAAAAAGATAAATAAAAAGCATAAACTTAGGATGTAAGATAAGCGGATTATCGAAAAATAATATTAAACTTTTGTGGAAGTTCAATACAAAACTTTTTTAAATTTTCGTATCTAAAATTCGTTTGTTGTACTAAAAAGTTTTAGCAGTGAGCTTTTGTGTAACTCCGAAACGTTAGCGAATCGTTATTTATGGTATTATCTTTGTTTTTTCTTCGGTTTCGACTTAAAAAGGTCAATCGTTTTCGAAATAAAAATAACAATGGTACGTTTCGATACGATTGATTTATTAGATTTTTAAAAAAGTTTTGGTACGATTGTTATAAATTATAAATAAATAAACAAAATAATAAATTGAAAATTTATTTATTTTCTATCAATTTCTTCAACAAAGTTTACAAATAATAAAAAACAAATAATAATAATAATAATAATAATAATAATAAAATTCTTACAAACTATGGAAGTCATCAATTATTATAACAAAAAATATTTCAATAATATTAATGAGTTTATCCTGCATGAATATAAAAGTCGTTAAATGTTTGAAAGGTAATCGCTGACACAGAAATAATGAGTATGATAATTAGTGTTTATTGTTAAGTAGATTGGAGATAAACTTACCAGAATGGAAGTACTTCCAAGACTTTGTTGTGAATCACTTAGCATAGCAGCAAGATCAGTCATCATCGAGGTTGAAAAACTTTTACGTGCCTGATGATAACAACGATGTTGACGATTTTGTTGCGTCATATATCCCGACATGTTATTCGTATTATCGATTTTCGATGACCAGATTTCGGTGTCGTCATTTCTAGGCCGGCCACCAAATTTACGATGGCTTATGAACTTATTGTCGTTTTTGAACCAATCTGGATTCGGCCTTGGCTGTCGTGTTATTGCGTGGGATGATTTAACAGTATTGTAATTCGAAAAATCGTCAGCACGGCTGTACCAGAGATGACTAGGTGGATCGTGAGATCTAGGCGTTTCAATGGATTGAGTTTTCTCAATAGAGGATCCCAGTCCCGATGTCGTCGGTGTGGATGGATAATAAGAACGCTTGTGAGGGTCTTTATTGTTTTCTACGTCATTAAGATATGAATCCTTGTCTCTCAATTCAAGTGAACGATTGTTTTCATGAATATTCAGGTTCGAATCCATTTCTGAAGACATTGTTGACGCATGAAAATATTTTCTATCGTTCGATGAAGTCCATATCTCATCTATTATCGACGAGTCTGCTCCAGTTGATATCGTCGGGGTTCTATGGAGGTTTTTAAAGTATGTACTAATTAGTACATCGATTTAGAGTCTCATTATTATCTTTTTTATTACGCTTACTTTAATAAAATTTGAATAAAGTTTCGAGTAAAAAAAATATTTTTAGAGCTCTCCGTCTGAATATTGTAAGAAAATATTTTTCAATGTAACGGGATGGAAATTTTTAATAATTTTTATAGCTATTGTATAAATGCAGTTAATTATCGAAATTGATTAGAATAAATATTTATTTTACTTGAAGAAAAAATTATGATTTATCGTCGAGATTTTTCCTTGTGATTGCATATATTTTATTATTGTTTCGGGTATTCAAGTTTTAATGAATGTCAGTCAAACAAGACAACTTCAGAGCAATATATCCGAATGTTCGCGGTCAAAAACTGTTTAGTTTTCACTCCAGGGAAATACTAGATAACTTCAGTCTGCTGCATTATTTATTATGAATAATGAATTTTAAATTATAAGCATCAAAATATCTAATCAAAAATACTATAAAACCCGAAAGTGATCCAACTTTTATGATACATCATATCTGTAACTCTAGAATTATTTATTTTACTATTTTTTAAGTTTATCTTAAAAATTAGAATGTTAATTAAAAATCATAAAGAACTTTCAAAAATTTCACGATGACATATATCAGTATTATTAATAATATAGAAGACTTTTTTTATATAAAACGTGATTTAAAAAAATAACTTATGTGTTTGAAAATTTAAATATTCTAGTATGAACAAGATCAATAGTAAAATTTCATCACTTTGTCTTCGTAGATTTACTTTTTTCTATCTCTTTGTTGAATACTTCAACAAAAAAGCATCATAAAAAAACTAGTCTTGCGCTCTTCTATTTACTACAGACTAGAAAAAAAAATATTAAGCATAAAGCATTAATTTTACTTTAAAAAATGATCCTAATTCTCTGAGCCCGATTCTGTTTAATTAATAACATCAATAAAATAACAAAATTATAATTATCATATTTTTTTTCTTTTTTTTTTTTTTAGCAATAAATTAACATTTTTGACTTTCGCTTCATTTTTATTTTTACTCTCTACCCTTAACTACCCGAGTCTCTCTTATTAATAATGTATGAGTATATTTTATACAGCACAATTTTGATGGCAGTTTTTTTACTCACTTTCTTTGCCAAAAAATTTAATATTTATAGATAATAATATACGTGAGTAAGAGCCTTTGAAATCGCTTATACTAGTAACAATCTCATTGTTAATTAAAAATCTTATCTAAAATCTAATCTCGGGTAATGCCTATCGATTCGGTTTTTATCTACCTCGGGCTGAATTTTCTCTGAAAACATGTAAGTGGCTAAGCAAAACTGGAATCCTTAACTTAAATACAAACAAAATGGGTCATTCAAGACTAACAAGTACTTGTATAAAGTTGAACAGTTAAACACAGTACAGCTGGAGAATTTAGTGCCCATTCAAACTCCGATATAATACAAAATTTTCAAGCCTCTAAAGAATTCCAAATTTACCGGAATAAAAAATGTAAAACATCATGATACTAAAAACCACAGACATCTGAAAATTTTTAGAATTTATTTTAACAAATAAATGTATCAGTTTAATTAAATGAATAATTTAATTTTATAGTTAATGAAAAAATCTTTCATTCATTAATATAAGTAATGTAATTATTAAGACAGAGGCTCACTTTAAATGGCTAATGCTAATTGAAATAAATGAATCATGAGAGTTTAACAGGAAAAAAATAAAATAAAATTAACTATTTAATTTTTGATTAAAGAGCAATGTTCAATGTATTGGTTCATTCATTCCTATTTACGTATAATCCGTTTCTCTACAATCCAATTAGACTTTAAAGGCTCACTTACTTTTAATATTTAATTTAAATGAGAATGGTTTAAATTTGAACTTAGAAATTTAGAAATTTTTATTAGCTCTGTAATAAATTAATTGGAAAATATATATATACATATCTATCAAAATTATGAATTTTTAATGCATAGTATATAGATAAATCAATTAAAGCTCTGTCAATTCCTGAATAAATGAATGATGACATTGATTCATTACATTGTGAATTGATAACTAGTAATGATAGTAAAGTAATGAATAATTAATGCAAGGTTTAAAATATACTATCCATGCAATTATCAAACCAGGAGTATCTTTGAAATTAAACATCGAAAAGCTCTCAATCATGTGATCCTTTTTACATCGATTCGCCTTTCAATAATCACGAATTCCTATTATCGTATAATCACGTGGATTAGTTCAATATTGAAAGGTAAATCAATATGAAGAGTTAAATAATGGAGAGATTACGGTAATCCGACTCATTTAAAAGTTGTTTGACAAGTTTATTAGATAATTATAATCATCCGACCATTGGCTACGTAATATCGATAATTAATAATTAGGAAGGCTCAAGGGGTGAAATTAAATTCGAGAGAAAAGTTCTGGTAATTAGATTTTTAATGTTTACTCCTTATTAGTTGTCGGATGAGTATTTAATATCAATGTGCAGCAGTTTTAATAAAAAAACATTACTGTTATAAAAGTGGTTTCATTAATTTCTCTTGCCAATATTTTCTCATAAATTCTTAATTATTTTTTTGATGTTTTGTTATTAGTACATTCAGTTTTTTTTTTTTTTTTTTTTCATTTCTCAGAATCATGAAAATAAATTAGTACTAAAAAAGTATTTTTAAAAAGTTGCATTCATGGTTTTATAAAAATTTTCTCTTCACAATTCACTTGCTAAAATAAATCTGAAAGGGTGTCGATCATCACCTTTAAATCCCGAATTTTATACATGAAAATTTGAATCAATATATGAAATATAAGACGGATATAATAAAGACAAAAATGAAATCGTTCCTATAAGAATTATTTTATCTCAAAAATAACATAATTTTAATTAAAAAAAAAATTTTTTTTTCAGCATCCATCAATTTAATTTGAGAATATTTAAATTCATAACAAACCTATTTCAATTTTCAATTTAAACTTTAAATCAATTCATAAGACAAGCAGTGATATAATATCTGATCATTTATTCGCTCAGACTGTCAATAAAATTTCAATGAAACCACTTTTGGAACTGATTTCGAATTTAGTAATTTTTGAAATTTTTCGCTGACCCAATTCGTCCTTTACATGTACAACACATAAACATGTACATGCATAACTTCAGCCGTCTTCCTTTTGCAAATATGAATATAAATAAAAATGAAAATGTAAAAACCATGCATATTAATAAACAAACATGGAATACTAGAGAATACCTGTAGGGTGTATTGCGCTCATGCCAAATTTGTTCGGTGTTTTTGTTGGGGGTGGTTGGTGTTATCGGAATAGTCCGATGATTGGCATAGTAGCATCTCTGCGGAAAACCCATTCCTTCGTCGAGACCAGCGGCCCAGAGTGATTCTAGTGGTAAATCATTGGTAGCAAGTGATGTATTGCAGCCCCCTCGGTCACTGGGTGTACTACCATCGTGATGTTTGTCCCTCATGCTTGAGGGACATACTCTACCAGCACCCTGTAGTACACAGCACATAATGCTGTTACCACTGGCGACGTTCTCGGAGTCGCCAATTTCCGGCAACTCCCTGCTACCACCGCTCTGCAGGCAACCTATCGTGGATAGGTTTTTCGATCGTTTCTTAGCACGTACTTAATCTTAACTCCCTCTGTACTTTTTTCTTTTCTTTTTCCTGCTGCTGTTGCTGCAATTCTGATGATTTTTCTTCATTCACATCATTATTTTTATTTTTATTCAAAAACATTTTGTCTCTCTCTCTCGGTTTCTTTATTTTTAAGTCTTCTTGCTTTATTTATCTGCGTAGACTTTATTTTTGTACACATTCTGAAAAAGTTTTCATAAACATACATTTTTTTATCGTTCTATTTTGTAATGTCATGCACGACGTGGTAGCTGTCATTTTTTATCATTTTAAAGTAGAGCACTCGAAAGTGTATATGAGAAAATTTTGTATACTATATGTGTATAATAGAGTAACGAAAGATTTAAATTAAAAGTTGCGCTTATGAATCTCATATAACAAAATACCAATCCAATGAAAAGATAAATTTATTTATATTTTTTTTTTATATTAATTAATAAGACCCTTGACTATAAAAGTATTCATATCATATTATTTTTGTAAGCAAACGTTCTGGGTGGAGATTTTTGTTTAAATTACGTTTTACTTTTTATTCAATGGAAAAAAGCTAATAAATGCGTCTTTTATTTTTTTCCATGGGTTTCAAAGCCTTTGCTCAGAATTTTTATTAAAGTTATTTTTAATAGTATTAACTTTTTCGAGAGAATAAATTTATTTTGCATGAATTTTTTAGGTAAATAATATAAAAGTCGCTTTTATGAATATTTAAAATTAATTATGAAATTGAAAGTAGATATTTAGTTTTTTAAAAGCTTTCGTAAGGTAGACTACCCATTTACGGCAGAGTTAAAAATTAACTTTGTAAATTTTTTTTTTGGTCTGCATTTATACGCAACTGAAATGTTGGATTTTAAATATGATTGATTAGTTTACATCTTTACATATATGTAACAGAATTTTTCAACGTAATTTTTATCGAGTTTAAGGAGTTTGGTTAATTTGAAAATTTGGACACGTAGCAAGAGCTGATGACAATGCAATAATTTCATAACTTATATACTGAAATACTATACAATCTAACACTGTAAAAAATTTCGGTGTAAAAATGAACCTGAAGCATTTTACACGGCCGTGTAGTGTGAAATCACGGTGTAAAATTCTCTCGGTGTAAATTTTTCATCCGTTTAATTTTAACAATTAAAAACAAGTATCAATAATTTTTCAACTTGTTAATATCATTCAATTGCTCCTATCCAAAATCAAAATTCACAGCTTTCATTTTTTTTTTTCCATTAGCTTCAAATAAATAAGAAATTTGAAAAAATGCCAGAAAAAAACTACTTCTAAAAGCTTTTAAATAAAATGAAACTCTCTTTTGCATATTTACAATTGTTTTTTAATTTTTTTGTTTCAATTTAATAACAGAGATGCATTGCTTTTAAAATAAAAGTATAACATAAAAAATAACCTGTCACTGTTTTTATTCTTCCTAAATAATATTAACATTTTATAAAATTAAATATCTTTATAACAGAATTTATGCTAGTCAATAAATATTTTACGATCACTATCGCGGTATATTTTATTTAAATATATTAAATTGGTAGCTGCGACACTAGATCGTGTGCGATAATTTTTTATCGATTTAATTATTGGTTTTCGATACAATACGCCCGTAAAAATCACTGCATATCTGATTATATTGTAATGTAGGTGAATATAAAGCAATGATTAAATCAGGGTAAAATATCTGAACTTTTCTGGGCTGAAAAATCCGAAAATCCCTGATGAAGATAAAATGATAATAAATAAAAGTTTAGCAAACAATATGTACAAAGATTACTGTAGTTATTGCCGGTAGTTTGAATCCATTACGACTGACCTCTCGGCTATTAACAAACGAATTACATTTGGTGTCATGTGCACGCCACGTCTCAGTGAATGTCCGGTCACCCGATGTATTGTTAAACTCTATAAACTAGATACTGCTATTACACAAATTTACTTTTACTCATGATTCTCTATTTTATTATATTATTCAGTGCGATATCCAACATAACAAATATCTCCGACGATTTATCGAGCCATTGAATAAAGTGTCGATTTAACAAATCTTTTATAAATATACAAATATAAATATTCAAGTTACTATGTATACCTGTCTATCTTTTTTTTATGAATCCCAACATTTAAAAATAATTAATTATTTACGTAAAAAAACTAATTCAGAATTAATTAAACTTTTTTCGCTACACCCAACAAAGAATATATCACAATTATTCTGCCTGCATGATATTTATTTTTGTTCCGTACAATCTTTTTTTTACTTTATACTCCAGTACTTCTATTTAATTAAAAAATAAATTATTTTCTACAAGCCGCTTTACAACTTTAAATTATTTTATTATTTCCTTAGTTTTTATGCTCAAGGCCATAATTGTGATTAGCAAAAAAAGGATCAAATTAAATGTTTTCTTAGTGTAATGATAATGATCATTGATCTAGCGATAGTCAAACAGGTTTTGCTGAATAATTCAGTAGCGTGGAGAAAATGTTTAATAAAGGCCAATGTTAAATAACAATGAACTTTAATTTGTAACTTCGTCCAAAATGGTATTAGGAATGAGAAAGAAAAATTAAAATTAAAAGTTTCCGTGAAAAAAATTTTTAATATGTCCCGGTTAAAAAATTTGAAAGGTCCATAAATGGCAATATATGGCCTGATCTTGCCATACGGATGCCTTAAAAAAAAAAAACAAAAAAAAAAAACAATTATCATAATTTTTTCTATTATTTTAATCTATAGAACCAGATTAGATCACGCATAGCCATATCAGGCCAGATAGGAAAATTGTCCATATATGGTCTTATCACAAAATTTTTTCACAGTTTCTCATACCATACTTTATTGATAAATTTTAAAAAATAATTTTTGTTTAAACTGGTGCTAATTTAAAATAATGAAGTCTACTTCATCACATCAGTTATATAATTTTTATAAACGAGCGATCCAATAAATGACATATGTATGTACCGAAGATTCATTTAGTAAATGCGACGTCTGTATAGCATTGACGTCTGGTTCATGCCGTCATATTAGTATGTAAATGTGTCTGAACAATATAAACAGACGCGAAGATAACGGAAGTTAATGCTTTGTTGTTCATGCATTATTAAACTTATTTACCATCACATTTATAAAGAACCATTTACGGTTTGTGGTGATGTACTGCTCGCATCAAATGCAAACTTTTAATTTTATGTCAAACCCAAAACCCTATATGTACATAATACAATTTTGAACCCTTCGTTTGTGTTTGTTTCCTCTCGCTCACTCTTTTCATGGTAGATGACAAGTTTAATACTACTCGTCTATCTAAACTCTTCCTACTGTGTTTCGAAGGCGCATGTGTGTGTTGATGGTTTCGATAGTGCTGATAAGTACTCATACTGGTAATAGAATGCTCTAGTATTGGTATGTATCACTTTACTTTAGTTATATCTATCATATTCATTACTCTATAAAGTGGCGATAAAATAAATTTGATTTGCAAATTTAATTTAATATATCACAAGCTATTCCCTTCACTGCGTCGTTAAGTATCAATTTATATTGTTAAAAAATTTAATAGTTTTTAATTTTAATTCGTAGTTTTTAAGTTAGTTATGAAGTTTTAATCTAAGTTAAATAATTAACTCTAAACAAACCTATGATAAATTATAGTTTGAAAAACTAAAAGGTAGAAAATAATTTTGAATGATTGAGAAAAATATTTATTTCATTTTGAATAAATATGGAGTGCTTGACATGAATTGTTGTAAATATTTGATTGATAAAAATTGCAGAAATAAATATAAAACAAATATTTTATAAAACGTCTCACACTTTTTTTTACAATAAAATCAATTTATTGTTGAAACATATTATTAATAATTATTATCTATTTTTTTACCTGTAAAGGTAATCATTTTTTAAATCCTTGATACGAGTCCAAATTTTCAAATTAATCAGACGTCTTGAAGTTAAGGTTAAGCTAATAAAAAGAAAGATAATTTCAAAATTGTTCATTGTACCGAATAAAAAATTTTTTTTTACTACCCGGGGAAAAATGGCCACTCTGAAATAAAAATAACAAAACATTTTTACAATGGCTTAGTCACTCCGCAGTTTTGCTTTGTTTAGACTCTTTCTAATCCAAGAAAATAAATCAAACAACAAGCGCTCGGAAATCCTTACCGAGATGTAGAAAAAAAAAAAAAACGTTTTTATCAGTGGTGTGTCTCATTTTACCTCTTATTTTTCTGCTATGCAAAAATTTCCATTAAAGTTAAAATTGAAAAAAAATTTTGGATATATAAATTTTGTTACGCTTTGTGAGTTTGATTGTAAAAAATTATTATTAATTAAAAATATCTAAAAAAATTTCACGCTTTTTCATCACCGAAGAGTAAATTGAGCTTTACAATTTTTAGTGCATTAAAAGCATAACAAACTCTTTTGATATCTAACCGTTTTAATATTGATGAAAAAAAATTTGTCTAGATGGACCAGATAGCTAATGATTATTCATTAATTCTCAGATAAACTCTAAAATTATGTATAATTAATTGACAGTTTATTTATTTTTGTGTTCACAAATCACCGCTAAATATTCAAATCAACTATTATTAATATTTACTTTTTTCTTTTTATTTATTGTATGGCTTAATATTTTGAAAGGTATGAGTGATCTTGCGATGAATAATTTAATTAATAACTTCATTTAAATATCTTAAAGAATATTTCAGCAAATTTATTACTTGATTTTTTAATTTAAAATATGGGAGCAGTTGACGCCGGTCTTAAGACATTATATCTAGAGGTAGAAGATGAGGGGTAAGGGTAAAACGAGGTCTTTTAGATAAAAAGGTGGTAATTTTCTTTATTTCTACATTTTTGCAGTTACTTAGTAAAATCATAAAACTTAACTAGGGAAAAAATTTAATGTAGAGTAAAATAAGTTTCTTAAAAAAATTATCTTAGGAAATTTTTATATTTTTTCTCCCAAGAAAATCGAATAAATTATTCACTCATTCCTTTTAAGACTTATTAGATATTTTAAAATTGAAGTAAGATGAAAAAAATTTAATATCTTAAG